TATGTCCGGTTATATAATCTAATGTAAAAGAACCACCATCGGAGGTTTCTTTATCCATTTACTAGATAAAGTCTTCATCTAGAAAGGAAAATAGCCGGTATTCAAAAACATTAGTATCTTCTTTTGAAGAGGGAACACTTTTAGTTCATTTTCTATGCGAGGGGAACGCTGTCGCTGAATAGATTAAAGGGTATGATACAACTAGTTCATTAGAAAATATTCCAGTAATACTACTTATAATGTCAAGTGTTATTTTTTCACTATATTCCAGTTTTTATAAATGAATTTATCTATCGAATAATGTTTTATTTTATAACCGATATTGAACAGCTGACCCATTTTTGGGTTTACGACTATCAATGTTCAACTCCCGTAGCCGTCTGAACCCAACACAGAAGACTATGGAGCTCCTAGATCAAGAATTGGGGCAAACTAGCCTTCGTGAAGGGCTATTTGATTAAACTAACCCGCATTTGCGTTACGTGGAAAGTCATCAAAACCAGAAAACCTCAAACAATTAGCCCGGCAGGAAGATAATTCTAACCCATAATCCGTCTGAGGATATTTTACGTCAGCACTGTGGTCCTAGTAAGTCGAAAGGAGAACACGCATCGAACAGTCATCGCTGGTATTCGAAACTTCGTCACTTCATTCGGAGGCGAGAGCTATACTCACTGAGGCCCCTTGGTTTTGTACCGAATAATGAATATATGCATATATACATTTTTACATTATTCAATATTTTTTGAACTCACTCCAAAATTCTTAATAAGTAGGGAGCTTTGCTCCTCCAATTGCTCCGTAATCATTTTCATTCCTTGAGTACACACTTTCATTTAAAAAAAAATTAACAGGTTAAACAAAAGAACTACATATATGAAACAAATATGCTCCAAACGTCAGAATTTAATATTTTATCGATGAAAAACCTTTAAACGCAAAAAATAATATTAATCCTATGAGCAACAGAAACTACATTAATTCTACAGTATGAAACAAAAAAAAATTCAGGTACCTATATCGGGAAAATATTGAGTCTTTATGTCCGTCAAGGCAAGGCCAGGATTGACATAGCATTTTTATTGATGTTGCAAAAATATTTCTTTAAAAATGACATACCTTCTTTTGTTGCATGAGAAGAATTTAAAATAAAGAACTTTTCATCGCTTTTAAAATCTGAATTATCGGATCAAAATCTGAATCAACAACAAATCATTATTTGATACTAGCTTGTGTTAATTTACAATTACAAAAATAAAAACAAAATTGTCCTTTATTTTAATGAATAAAGGATAGGGAGGAAGCAAACAAATACAAACACACCTCAATAATGTATCAATATGCATTATGAAGACACTTTTTTTTAAATTTATTTTGCAAATTTCAAAAGATTCAAACATTTACGTTTCTATCGACGGTGATAAAGCGCCAAACCCAGCACAAACGTTGAAAATCCTGCAAAATTTCCCCGCAACTAGAATTAACAAGGCTTAAAGGTTCGTGGGCTCGTTATTTGGTTTCTGACACCTCCCAATCTGCACTCCATCTCGTTAAAAGTATCCCGCTTTCTGTCAAGCCTTACGTGACAATCTTATGGGGAATTCCTTTCCCCACCCCTCCATCACGTAAAACTTCAACCCCCCATTTCCATTTGATGCTGGAAAAGGATGCTAAATATATGCGGTTTTCACCATGTGGTGCGTGCTTTTTTGATCTTGCAGAAATGACATTTGTTACATCATGATGAAGATGAAGGTTATCATTGAAAATTCATATTGTTATCGCTTTTCGCATCTGCGAATTTCAATTCCTGATCTTGACATTAAAGATGCGTTTTGTGTCATTTTTTCGCATATTTCCGCAGAAGATATTCGTTGTTTAATATTAAAGATTGAGTCGGTTATGAAATTTGTCAGATATATTCTCTATATATTTTCGTTCGCAAATTTTTATTTATTAGTATTGCAAAATTTATCTAGCCAGTATTAGAAAATTCAACTTATAAATAAAGTGTGTAAATGAAATTAGATAAAATACTAAAATATAAACGTATCTTCAATAAAGCACTCGGGTGTTTGGGTTATAAATAAGTGTGTAAATAAATAAAAAGAAAAAACAAACATTTTTACAAAGAAATTTTCATAAAATTTGTAAAATCAAAACCCTTTTTTTTTTAATTTAAAACTATACTAAGAAAATTAAACTTTAGCATGTGATGATTTATAATAAGAATTTGAAGCTTTCAAATCGGCTGTTACAGGTTTTATGCGTAACAGGTTTTATGCGTTAAATCGGCTATTACAGGTTTTATGCGTTTCAAGATTTTCTCCTTAAGTTCTATTTTTTTTAAAATTATTATACAGTAATGATATTTCTTGAATAAGACTGAAATTCTTTTTTCTTTTTTTGGCAATATCGACATAATTAAAAAAAAAAGCTATTGAAAATAAAATAAAAAGGGGGTGGGGACTACTCCAACATCCATAGCTGCCAACATGGTAATTGTTCATGATATTTGTTCATGGTAATTGTTGCATAATGTACTAAATATTTTACCCATAGCAAATTTTAGGGATTTTAATAGTCATTAAAATAGAAAAACTACAATATTTTCTAGTTATGATTGACATTAATGAACGTGAAATGCTTACTCATAATTTCGAATATTAATAGGCATTTAATTCATCAAAGATTGCTAAAAGATTTCTCAATTATTTTAAAAAGAGAGTTCTGAATAAAAATTAACTGAAAATTTTAGAACAAAAAAAGTTTGTAACTGATTTCTACAAATGAGGTTCGCTTCATTATGTATCAGTAATACTTATTTAATTTTTAAACAGCCAAGGATGCAACAACAAGGATGCGTAGTCATATTTTTCAACAAAAAAAGCACTTTAAAAATATTTTTAATCACTTTCCAAAAAAAAAAATCATAATTAGGATCTGTGCAATAATAAAGATTGTTTTCTTATATCGTTTAAAATTCTTAATTTATAAGCATAAAATCAATAAAATTCAAAAACATTTTCAAAAACTTTTAAAAGATAGTTTTTAAAACTTTTAAAAGATAGTTACATTTTGCAGAGAAAATTGTGAAAATCATGCATTTTTTGTAATTTAAAACTATAATTGACGCCGCAAAGAAAAAAAAAATCTCTCTTTTTTTTAAAAAGGATAGAAAATTAAGCACTTTTTACAAACCTCGAATTAAAAAAAGCACCTTGAAGGGCTTTTAAAAAACGTAAATCAAAAATAAGCACCTTTAAGCACTTTTTAAAAACGCTAAGCACCCTGTTCAAACAAGCAAAAATCTATACAAAAATTCTATTTCAATAGGGATTTTTTTAGGAAACTTACTAAATATTAGGAAATTTTCTAAAATGTACAAAAAACAGAATTTTAAATAAATCAGTAGACCAGGAGAAATTGGCAAATCCAGTAGAGTTGGCAGTTTGAACATCTAATTCATAGATTATGGGGCAAAATATATAATAAAACACACATTTCATGAAACAATATTTCAGTCGACTCTTTTTAATTAATTTTGTACATTTCAATTTTATCATTCGCCGTTTCAAATCACCAGAAACCTGCTTCACCACCATGTACTCAAAAAATTTAAAAAAAACATTGCAAAAATGAGTAATAGCATTAGTTTTCTCCTTAAAAATTAAATTAAAAGCACATTTAAATGAACTCCTCATTTCAAATTCCTCCGAGGATCATTGGGTTTCGAAAGAAAATATTTCTTAAAAGAATGGGGAAAACCCTTTTTCTTAAAGGATATCAGTGAAAAAGCAATCCATGGCAAGTTATCTTTCAAAAGCATTAGTTATTCAATTCCTGCTATTATTTCACACTCTCCCTACATATATTTATATATCTTGTTCAAATTTTCATCGCTAATAAAATACTTTTTATTCATCCACCCAAGTGCAAATACATTTTTTAAACTTGTAGTTGACACATTTTTCAAATATTAATTTCTTAATTAATTTTAGTTTCATATGACTCATGTTGAAATACGCCTACTAATGAGAACCAAACCATTCATAAAAATAACCAAGTTTGATGGAGTATTTGTTGACCTAAGTGGGAATTGACTAAGTACAAGAAAAGTACAAAGTACAGGAAAAAAATTAGCACAGGAAAACCTAGAGTAAATTATGTAGTTTCTAATGCTGAATTTATTGTGTTTTTTTTTTCCATTTAAAATATCTAATTGCAAACAAATTAAGAGAAAACTTCTCCTTCCTCTCTTCATAATAGCAGCATTTGCAAATTTATTTGCAATTTGATATTTTTAAAAGAAAAATGCAAGCATTTAAAACTGCAAGCATTAAAACTTATTTTAGGTTTATCGTAAATCGTATTAGGTTTATCGTACCGTTTCTATACCTGAAATTTTAAACTACTGATACAAAAGAGAATTTTCCATATAAAGATATTCCAGGGTTGCCACTCAAATCCGGAAAAAAAATTTCCTGTACATATTATACAAAATAAATTAAGAGGAAACAACAATTACCGTGGTCTTGTGTGAGCTATATTGGGTTAACAATATTTATTAGTTTTGATTGTTGAAAAAAACAGCAGAACATACTTCAATAATGCTATAACAAATGAAATAGTTTAGTATGGCTGAAATATCAAAGTTAAATATCCCATAGATTACACTTTGAGAGGTCACCATTCTTTAAAAGACAAAAATAAGAAAAAAAATTCCCTGTATTTTCCCTGTTAGTCAAGAAAAAATCGAAATTCCCTGCATTTACCCTGTTATTTTAGGTGATTTTCAAAATCCCTGTATTTTCCAGGTTTTCCCTGTGGAGTGGCAACCCTGTATTCTCATGGTATAGCGCCCTCTTAAGGGTGTTAGTTCCTTATTTTTGAAGAAGTAAAACCTAAAGAAGAAAAAGATGACCGCCATATTAAAACTGCAGGAAACCATTGAGTGAGAAAAGATTAAGAAACACGAAATGAATATGTTGTAATATATATATATTTAAAAGATATTTATTCAAATTAGTTTTATCATAAAAATATTTGTTAACTTATATTTGACATCATAGTAACATACGAAAATAACTGCACTTGGTGCAGAAATATATATATGTATATTGTTAAGAGATTCTGCTTTTTATTATACATATTTTAACAATAGTGCAACATTTAAATAGGGTTGTTACAGAAACACTAAATAAGAATCCCAACAAACAATCAAATTTCAATTTGGCAAGCTTAAATCGCAAGAAAAAATCATGTTGAAAATTAAAATAACTGAGATATAAAGTATCATAACATTAAAAACCCAAACATGATATAGGTGACAAGAAATATTTAAGGTGTATATTAGAGAGAAAAAATATAATTAAAAAACAGCATTATTGCTATACAAATCTACAAATCTATAAAATAGATGTTACGATTCATTCGCATGTTTTTTATGCTGCATTTTACACATCTCAGATTAAATATAAAAAATAAAAAAATGTACAAGAGATCTAAAGTGTGCTTGTGACAAAATTATTGCATATATTTCACTTAAATGCTTCAACGAACAAAGCAAATTTAAATCATTCTTTTACATAATTGTAATAATAAAATCGGAAATAATTTGATACTGGCTTTAAACAAGGGTGCCCTACCAAAACCACTTAGCGAACATGCTAATAAAATAGTTTTCAAAACTCAAATTACAATTAGAAAAATTAGTTTATAAAAATTTATTTTTATATATTTCTGATTTTTTTTTTTTTACTTTTTAAAAAGATAATTTATTTTGAAATCTGCTTTGTATTTACAATCTATAAAGAACACTAAAAAGTACATTCAGAAATGTAAGTTAAAAAAAAGTTTTATCAAAAAAATCTTAATTTCCACATTTTTAAATCATTTGACACTTCTAGCGAGTGAACAAATAAAAAAAAAAGGTACGACTCTCAACACCAAAACTGCAATAAAGTAGACTTCACACATAACTACCTTCTAGTAAGACAATATCTAAGATTAACAACAAAACAATTTAAACATAACAGTGAAAACTCTTATATTACTCATCTCATATGGCACTTTGAACTATTTACTGTGATTGAATGTGTATAAAAAGTTAGATCTTCTTCAAACAATTAATGACACATTGAAACTACCAATGACATACAATAGTCAGCTGATATTTTTTTTTATCATTTTCATAAAATTGGCAGTGGGAAAGGTACAGAGATCATACCCCAAATAAGGCAATAAACACTTGCCGTTTTTGTGATTGCAAATACAAAAATAGCTTTAAAAACAGTCCATAATAGTTTTGAATACCACACAATACTTTACAGTTGAAAGAAATTCACTAAACTGAACGTCTAGCACTATTTTCAAAAAATCTGGTATTAAATAAAAAATAAATATAGATGTTACTATAGCAAAAGCTATATACATTAAAAGCTTGGGCTTTAAATTATGAACATTAAATAGATAACATTTCATGTGACTTTTTCAGAGACACTACACACTTATAAAAATTGCGATAAGGCAAAAACCGGTTTGGATTTGAATATTGTTGAAAAACCTGCTAACTTTTTCTATTTCTAAAGAAAATTTTCTCAAGGGGTAATGAGATGAAAATTGCAGATAAAAAAACTTTTTTCCCCAGAACCAAAACTTGTCACTGTATTATTTATCATGTATTGATCTACATATTTAATTTGTTTATAAGAAGTGCTGATCAATATAAATTAAAATTAAATTTATACATTGAATGTATGAAAAGAAAAAATATGAATTTTGCCACCACTTTAAATATAAAAATAAACACCTACGAAAAATCCATAAAAGTTGGCAAATAACTAAATCAAAAGCAATCAAAGGAACAATGAATTTAAATTTTCAAAGAAAACAGAAATTTTGGCAAACTGGGAACACTTTAGATTATTTGAAAGGATGCTTCTAGGTAGAAAATATTGGATATACATGTATTTTGACTTAATCATAGTAAAAAAAATATTTAGGAAGCATTTTGAAATAAATGCAGATTCCTTATTATTAAACTAATGTGACGTTTCTCCAAATATACTTTATGTAATAAAACACTTCTAATAAAGTAAGTATAAAAAAAAAAGTGTAATAAATACACTTACTTAAATTACAGAGACACTGAAAAGTTATAAAAAGTGCATTAAGGCAAAAATCTGTTTGGCTTTAAATAGTGTTGAAATTACAAAATGTGAACAGCACAGTAAAAAATATTATTTCAGAAACAATAACTTTCTGAATTTTTGAAGAAAACATATTTTTACAATCAGGAAATAATATGTAATCATTTTTTAAGAAATATTATAATATAGAAAATTTGGGATACACATGTTTTCTAAAAGTGCTTAGGGAGCATTTGAAAATAAAAGCAAATTCCCCACTATTCAATTAGTGTCACGCTTCTCGGAACATAATATTTCATAAATACAATTCTATAAAAATGTTTAAGAAAGTTCAATAAGTAAATTAATAGCTGCCAATAATTTCATTATCAACTCAAATTTCAATAACTCACATTGAAATCAACACAAACCCAATGCATTATTCACGGTTGAAATTTAAAACAATTTCCTAAGACTTTTTGATAAATCTATCAATTATGGATAAAAATCAAGGGTGACACTCTTCAGAAATTACAAGACAGAACATTTTTTTTTTATGAAATTGTTTCGTTAGGCAAAGTGACAGTATCTGAAAATATTTATCACTTAATATTTTGAAGATATGAAAATTAGTAAATGGCATTTCTGATGCCTGATTTAAAAATTTCCATAGTAAACTAATATTATAAATTAATGGATGGCCCTACAATTCACCCTTAAAAAGAGCCATTCTTTCCTATTAAGTTCTACCGTTTCATAGAATTTAATTAATCAATATACTTTCATCATAAATTTATGTAAGACTTAAGACTATTAGTCCTGAAAATTCTGAAACCAAAAACAAACAAGAAAGGCAAGAAAAAAAACATATCAATCAATTTTACATAATTTGTGGACAATTCATTATGTCAACACGTCATAATTTTACGGCTGTTACGTTAATTTTACAGTTTGAGATAGTAAGAACAATGTAATGCCATTGTTAAACATTTTTAAGACAATTGGGACTTGAAAACTATAAGCTTATGCTTAAATCTTAATATTGCTGCATGACTTTAAAAAAAAAAATTTTAAAAACAGAAAGATACAACATAAATCTATCTTGTGTTTAAAAGAGTGACACCTTTGCAAAATACATAGAAAAAAAATATTTTAATACTTAAAAGGATTAGATATTATAAATATTTTAATACCTGAAAGAATTATAAATGAGTTTTTTTCCTTATTAGTCTTTTGCTTGTACAAATTAGTATGCTACATATTACTTAAAAGTTATACAACAATCCATTAAGAAATAATCAGCCTTGCTTCAGGTACAGATAATAAATACAAACAATCAGATATTAACCAAAGTTTTAACAGGGAAAATTGGTGTTAAGCATACAGTTATTTCACATTTCTGTGTAAAAGATTAGTATGTATCACACTAGGGGTTTCCAAAGTTTCTATGGATCCATCCATGGATGTAGTAAAATTACCTTTGCCTGCAAAAGCTTGAGCAATTTGTTTCTGGCTGGGGAATATAAACTGTAACAAAAAAATAAATAAAAGGTTACATTCAGAAACACATTAAGAGATTTTAAAAATGTCTCCTTTTTAAATAGATTGTTTGATTGAAGAAATAATACAATAAAGCTAAAAACGAGAATCGGAAAATACTCGGACAAAGACTATCATTTACCATTTTTTATATTGTTTTTGATAATATGATCTATTTTAACAGTCAGTGACAAATTTTAAGCAATTTTTAATTATTATAATATTATTTTATTTGTCTTTTGGCACTTAGATAATTGAAGAGTAGGCGACTATGAAAATTTGTAGAAATTATCTCACACAAGAAACATCTGTAATTTACACATTTTATTACTGTTATTTTATTTTTATTATAAAAATAGTTCTTTTGTCCATTCATATTTCGTCTTGTTAGAAAACTTATTAAAATTGTCAAGACTTTCTAAAAATGCTCACAAACAACCAATTAAACATTTTCAAAAGCTGCAGAAGAAAAATCAAAATATAATTAAAGTTTCAGTTTAACAAATAAAATAACAATTTTAATTTAAACAGTAGAAAAAGACACTTACATTAGTCAAAACAATGTTCACCATATTATCAATAAATGTACCAACATGATGAGCTTCTCCAGTAAACCTAAAAACAAAACTAACAATATATTGCTTACCTTTTAAAACATAAAAAAGATTAATTAAACTGAAGATGGTTCCAAAAATAACCAAGAGTTTGAAAAATCAAAGAAACACAGAAGCATCTAGAAATATACCATTTACTACATTCTGCTTAAGAAGCCAGGTGTTTATTCAGCATTAACAATGTTTTCAAAAAAACCACTATTTGGAAAAACTATAAAATAAAAATGTTTTAAAAATAACCACTATTTGCAACAACAACCTGGCACAGTCGGAGGAGAAAATTATAAGATGGCCACGCAAATATTTCAATTTAATTGGTCTGACATGTAGCAAAAACATTGATCTATTTTTTCCCAGTTAATAGTGTCTGCTAATAATACTTTGAAACTTGGCACAAAAAAATTATTTGATTTTCTAAGCAAAATGTAGCAAACTATGCATTTTAATTTTTTTGCACATTTCTTTAATTGTTTGAAACACCCAATATTTCAATGTTCTTACCTGCAGTAACCCCACAAGCCCAAAGCAACTATGGTGAGAACCATAAAGAAATTTATTGATACAGCAAATGCTTCTAATCCTAATGCTCTTAGTAAAGTAGAATTTAAATAACAGATAACTATGATGAGAAGTAGAGTTGCAGGAGTGCGAACAGCATGAGCAATCTGTTTGCCATCATTGAATCGAACAAGGCTACTGTACATTTCATCTATTTCCTGAAAGTTAATAAAAATGTAAAGATTAAAAAATTAATTTCATGACTAATTTACACATGATAAAATTTAAACAAAATTCAGTTTTATTATGTTCATCTAATTTGACAATATGTTTTCTTTTGGTACATAATATGCTACCAAGATACAGATCATAGTTTCAAATTTTTAATTCTCTAGATTAATTGTTTTAGGAAATTATGGGGTTTCTGAATAATAACTGGTAAAATGCAAAAAATGCTTTTGTACTTTATTATAAATAGGCTGTATTTGAGGTTGAATCAGTTAAGAGCGAGTTAACTTTTTCTTTATACAAACGTAAAAATATAAAACTAACAATCAGGGTTCGTAAAAATATAAAACTAAGAAAAGATGATCAATCTAGAAAAAAATTAGTACCCTTCACAAAAATCCCAATTTCAAAAAAGTCCCTTAATCCAACCCTTAAAAAGACCCTTTCTCATCAGACTTTTTTAAATACAGTCAGACCTCGATATAAGGTCACCCTAAGGGACATCGCAAAAGTGACCTTATAAGCGGGGTGACCTTTTAACCGATTCATTAGCAGTTCATAACTAAGCACGTAAATAGTACACATTAAGACTTTTTAAAAATGTTTATACAAACGAAAACAATCAGCCATAAATTAAATATTTAAGTCAATAAATTCTAACAGAATTAGTAAAGAATTAAAGAAAATTAGATTTTCAAAAAAAAATTTAATTTACAATAAAGCTGTTTAGAAATTTCCTCAAAGTGCACATACATACATTACATCTTACCTTATTTAAAATAATCATTTTATGCAGGTCTGTCTTGTTTTTGGTTTCATTTTTTGAACAATGTTTTCTAGATTTTGTAACTTCTCAAAATATTACTCAGCTCCCTCATGATTTTTAAAAAAATTTCGTATCACATTTATTGCATTGGAGGCTTCCATATGGGTTACAGCTACAGTCTCAGGATCACTGTCGTTGTCCTCACTGACCACAACTTGTGAAAAAATTTCAGAAATTGTAGCTTGTTCATTGGCTGCAACATTTTACTAGAACTCGAGAGGCCTTGTAAGGAAGTTAAATAGGCTTTTGTTAGAAAAGAGCTTCCCTCGCCTCAGATAACAATGACCTTATAAGCGATAACGATTTTTAAAACTTGACCATATATCCGATATTTTGCAACAAAGAATTCCTATTTAGTGAGCCAGGACTTTGGAAAAGTGACCTTATTTGCGGGGTGACCTTATATGCGGGGTGACCTTATATGCGGATGACCTTATATCGAAGTCTAATAATTAATATATTATATAATTATTATTATAACTTAATAATACTGTAACATAATCCAAATTGCACAAATGAGAAAAAAAATTTATATATTTAGTCTGTTTAAAAGACAAAAAATAATGAAAAAATTCCAAACAAACCTTCACTAATTTTTCTTTGAAAGAATGTTCAAGCTCTTCATTTCCCATTTTCTTTGTTTCTGAAAATTTCTGTAAGGCAATCTGGCGAATTTCAAAGTGTTTTCTCTCCAAAATTTGATGGCTAACAAATGGTCTGTCACCACCACAAATCTAAATATTATTAATTGCATAATAAGTGTTAAGAATATATTGTACAATACATCAACTATAATTAATAAAATGCAACATTTCGCTTTATCTTAACATTCTTACCTTCTTTATCTTAACATTCTTACCTTGGGTGCAAAAATGCACAGAAAATCATAGTTATTCCTTTCTTTTATTTACTTATATATTACAGACATTTCTCCATTATTTACTAAACATATTACACTGATATTTTCCTTAGCATTTATCAGAAATATGGAACTCAGAATAACAAATATAGGAAATTTATATTTGCTATTTCAATTATTAAATATTTAAAAAAATTGCATGCTGATTTATGCCTTTTACTTTTATCTATATTCCTAATAAAACTTTTTTTTCTTATGCTCCTACAAATTGGAAAAATCTAGACTAGAATTTCCATTCAGATTATTACTGGTCAGTTTACCAATTACTGGTCAGTTCAGTTTGTCAAAAATTCGCATTAAAAATGTATATTCGTAATGTAACTGCATTTGTAATTAATACTTAAAAGCTGTATTTGCAATACTTGGGCATATTTAAATAAAATCCTTTTTTTAACAGTTTCTTCATAGAATATTATTAGGAAAACTAGTTTTCTGATAGAAAAAACAACCAGGTTGTACATATAACTGCTAAAAGTTATATACAATAATTCAGTTCCATTGATGCAACTCAAACTCATGTATATAATTTTTTTAATTGTAACTTATTCTTATCATTAAACTTAATATTATATTTTATTTTAAGCCTAGAATTTAGACAGGGTTACACATCTTTGTTAAGTTTTTGATTAAAATGAAAGCAAATTTCTTGATAATTTGATAAAAACCAATTCTTAAATTCTTTCTTTCTTCAATCTTTCAATTCTTTTTTATAACCATTATGAGCTGTGATGGCTCAGTGGTTAAAGCACTGAGCTGTTATTGTGAAGGGCTGGGATTCCTGATGGGTACCAGCTTGTTTAGGAAGTAAGAACACTATGAGCACAATGTAGACCACATTGTAACCATCATGTAATTGGCCCTGCAATTGCAAAGCCCTAACTTCAATGACACCACACTGGTCCACAACGGGCTGTTGCGGAAATTGTTTGCTTTTATTATAGCCATTATATTTTAAATAAAAATAAAGTTCATGGAATTAAAATAGCATATGCAATATTTTGCAAAAAAAATTCAAATAATATAATATATAAATTTCATAAACAATATACATTTAAAAATTAACAGTAAATTAAAATATGTATATGAAAAAAAAAACATAGTACAATAGTAATGCTACAAAATAACAAATAGATGAACATAGGAACAAGCACTTTTTAAAAATACTGACTTTTAAAATTATTTTTAAAAATTACCTTTTCCATTTCAGCAGAGTAGTATTCTTTTGAATTTGCAGCTGCTGACAGGTTGTTAGCTTCTGCAGTCGCCTTAAATAAGAGGCATTACAGTGAAAAAAAATACTGTGAAACGTTTTAAGTTTTATATAATGTATTTGCATATGGTTCAGAAACAGTATAATTCAAAAGAGCAAAAACAAAAGAAAAAAACATTAAAAAATTTAACATTTAGTTTTTAATTTTTTCATTATTATTAAAACATTAAACCCTTTGAAAGTGCATATTTTTCCCTATTTTAAATACATTGAAGATTAATAAGTCTTTCAGCATTTTTATAGGGAAATTAATACGTATCAATTTACTGTAGTCATTCCGAATTTATCATCAACTGATTTGAATTAAAATATTTTTAGATAAAGTGGGATTTTAAAAACTTGGATGCTCCATAGATTACTTTGGAATTAACATTAACTATAATTATAAAGTAATTTTATAATTTATATAAATAATCTAAAAAAAATTATCTCCTACATTTATACTTGATTTCATGGATTTTTTTTAAATAAAGTCATAACTAATTAACGAGAACACACTTAAATTTCTTTTAACTATAAATTTCTTTTAATGTGAACTAACTTTCAATGCCTTGCCAAATTGAATACCAATATAATGCTTTAAGTACTTATAACATGAATCTGCTTAAAATGAAATCTTTTTCAAGGTGAACAAAAATTTCATAAACCTTTGAAAACTTTTACATTTATCATGAACATAAAATTTAATTTTTTGCTGATAGATGAGAAAACTGATAATTAATTTGATTTCATTTAGTATAGATATTTAACTCTTTGCTTATGGAGGTTGCATGTTGAAGCCTGTCATTCTGGTTCACTTGTCACACTAGCCATAAGTAAATGATAAAAAATATTCCATATATTGTGTTACAGTGATGATTATTTTATTATAGCAGTCAATACAAGAGTTGAATGAATTGAACTGAATGTGAGGGAGGAATAAATTACTTAATATGAAATGGAAAATATAAAAAAAACTTTTATAGATTACTTGAGAAATTCAAAACAGGAATTCATGTTTAGAAAATTCTGCATACGAGAAATTAAAATAAACCTTTTTAAGCATTGAACACCTTAGATTCAATGTGGCATTATGTGAAATAACTAAAAAAATTAATGCATAAGTCACAAATACTGAAAAGCCTTTCTCTGTATTCAAGTCTTTATGAAAATATTTGTACTGAAATGTATGGTAAATATTTATTAGTAATTACATACTTTGAGAGATTTTTCTCAAAAACACATTAATAATAAACATTTTAAAACTTACATTCAGCATAGACTTAGGTTCAGGCAATTCCCCGCCTTTGAAGATTTCCACATATGCCTAAAATAAATTATAAAAACTTCAGTGAATAACTCACATATCTTTAAGCATTTTCATTCATATTACTAAATGGGTTCCTAAAGTAAGTGGATGCATGGAACTGATATTTTAGCAATTGCTGCCCTAAAAAATAGCTAATATTGCTTAAAAATAAACAAATCATGGATGAGCAATAAGTTCACCCATGATTACTAAGCAAATTCATAATACATTCAACTGTGTGTTAGTAATTCATTTTTACATTTTCTTTAATATGATAGTTACTTATAATAAAATTACAAAAATCAATATTAAAAACTTTTATGATATTACATAAATCATTATTAATTCCTCCTTCTTAAATACAATTAAAATACTAGAGTGGATTTTAAGAATGAGTTATGTAAATTATGCTTATATTCTCACCCTCTTCTATTAATTTTTGGTTCATTGTCTAACTCATAAGAAACATTCGTTACATGTATATAATAAGTAATATATCTCAAACAAAAATTATATGACTGAGGGCGCTGTGATAAAATTTTTAATCTCATCTGAGTTTCTCCCGATTTGAAAAAGTTTGGCAATCTCAGACACAATAAATGGAGTGCTCAGGACAATATAGAAATGGAAGGCTCAGTTTTTGATTATAGGAATTCCTGAACTAAGACGTATGTTGTCTGCATGCAGCAGCTCTTATTTTTGTAGAAAAGTTTTTTTGCTAATATTCATAAATGAAAAACAAAAACTGGATAACATTTGATGGTGTGATTAAAGTACAATAATACCTCTTTTTTATCCAAATACTTCTGTTAACTATAAGTAACAATGACAAGTACATAAATACGAATCACGAATATTGGATATTAAACTCGCAAGAACGAATCACGATATTGGACTTTTAAATCACGTGAATAGGAGGTGCAATGCACAATTTTTAAATCGTGTAAATACAAATCGCAATGCATAACATCTGAATCAGGTAAATGTGAAAATTGATGTTTGATAATAAAATCGCATGAATAAGAATCGCAATATTAGCAATTTCTTGGGCTGTTCCAAATATTCAAAGTAGCGAGAATCCGCCAAAAAAAAATTTAATTGGCGAAAGAATCACATGTATGCATCAGTCTCATTAGTGCGGTTTAACAAAATTTTTCAACATTTTGTTGGATTATAAGATTTTGATTAGTGGAAGTTCGCAAACCAATGATCTCGAGATACGCAGAATTCTGTGACATTTGCAGAAAACTCACATGCCCTGCCTCAAGTTTTTTAGGCCTAGACGAATGATATAAAAAAATAAAATAAAAAAACGGAATTCCGGAGTACGTCTGGAATGCAATCATACTTCTACATTACAAATTTCTTGTCAGATAATAAAAACCACTCACTTTAAAGTAATTTATTAGGTCCTTGCAAGTAACATCACGGCCAGCAATCTGTTTTGGAAGTAAATTCGAGGGTGATAACAACAAGGAAACTAAATCCTGTAGAGATTCCTTGAACTCACTACGAATAACTACAAATAAATGTTGGTGGTTTATATCTTTTTGTTTAAAAAAGTAATAATTTATATAAATTTTCAGAGAAAAAAATTTGCCAAACCAGAAAGTCTTCCATCAAAGTTAGGACTTGATGCTACTTCAAGTCCAGGATGGGGCATAAGAAAACATCCCACGTCAGAAAAACAAGATCGGATGTGCTTACGAAGTTGTTGAAGCTGAGGATGTTGCTTCTCTGAAATCTAAGTGTTATAAAAGAGGGAAATATTTACAAAAGAATAGAGTGGAATATTTAAAAGAGAAAAATATTCACATTCATAATTGTATAAACACTCAATTAGATTTTTTTTTTTTTTTTAAAAAAACTGCTACATTTAATTTTTATATTTCCTTATTACAAGATGAAAATATCAAGACAATAGTACAAGCAAAATTTTGTTTCAAGAATTTTTTTAAAGGCACAACTAATAACTCTATACTAAGTAATAAACAAAACCAATCAGTAATAATTAAAAATATTATTGTCATTGTTTAAAATATATTTTAAAATTAAATAGCCAATTTCCTTCGTATCTACGTTTTGATCCAATTGCTATAGACTCTATAGTCATTACTATGTTATAATACAGCCCTCTATACTATAGTCTAGAGGGCTGTAATGGATATTTTGGATCTCGCAACAGAATTACATATGTTCTTAAAATGAAAATAATGTTTTACTTTCAAAAATCCAGCATAAAATACAAGTCCTGATTCCATTATGTCGTCAAAAGCTTAATTTTTATACTACTTGTTTTGTTTCTTTCTAACTATATTTTAATAATATTTAAGCAACTCTAAATACAAACATGATGACGCTTAAATTATTTTGGCAATGTACTTTCAGCTACAATTCAGCGAGTTGAGAGAGAGTTGAATTTTACCCAATAAAAATTATGAGTCGGAAAAACAATTTTGCAATACTTCGATAGCAAAACAAATCTGTAACAGAAACATTGTTTTCAAAACCCCTAGTAATATGAGAGTCCCAATCAAAATTTTAAAAAATATATAAAGTTAAAAACACGCAATACCAAGGACTATTTAGAAGAGATGTCTGTATTATTGTGCTTGTTAAAAACCTGCTATACTAAAAAAGTAACAGTCCTTGGTGTACTTTACCTCCAATCTTCTATCTAGAAGCATCTGCCCACCAACAGCACCATATTCGGCTTCATAAGGAAAACTCCAATCACGCACCAAAAAGACCAATTTCTAAAAATAAATAATAAAAATTCAGTCATTAATTGACATTAGAGAAATTCAATCAGAAAAATTGTTAGAAAGATTACTCAAGACTTTTTCAATTTAAAAAATACTATCACTGTACCTAAAATTTTACAGAGTGCATGCTTTTCACCAGCAAGAATATTATATTAAAAAGGACACTAAAGTATAAAGACACTGTTTTGAATCATTAACACTTTCCAGCCCAAGATGTTGAAGGCAAGGACTCTTAATCACCAAATTTGATTGATTAGGTATAATATCACCATAGTAATTTCAGCTATTTGAAATTTGTTGTTACAAAAATTTCCATCCTCTGTATTTATTTTAACAACCACTTTTTTCAAACTGTTAACTAGTAGCAATACTCTTCAGCAGCCATGAAACCTTACCTTTCTAGTAGTAATATTAAAATGTAATATTTAACATTTGATATTGATCTTCCATAAATTAAATACTAAAAATAACCAATTTTTTAAAAAGGTCAATTTCTTGCACTTATTAACCTAATTTTTAACACTCAGCTTTAAGTAGCATGATAATAACATATTACATTTTTAAAAAATATCTATTACATTAATACACACAGGCAAACACTCCAAACCCAAAATTATTTCACACATGTCATTAACTAAGTTTATTTTGACACATAAAACTATTAATGTAGTTAATATATTGCTAGCTAGAGGAATAATAGTGTTAAAAGTCTTACCTGAAATGGTTTTTCATCACAACCTTCCATAGCTAATCTACCATATTCAGTAAAAAGCTAGAAGAAAAAAAATTAAAATATACAATATTTTAAATACACCTAAAACATATAATATCTATAGCAAAATAGAAAATCTGTCAATGATAAAATATGACACATTCCTTATTAAACTAGTTATAAAGATTTGTGGGCTTATAAAAAAACTCAGTCATGAGGTTGCAAAAGAGAAGATAATAAGAAAAGTGTAAGAGATTAAAATAAAAAAAGGCATGGAAAAAAAATCAAGAAGTCTTATTTTGAGAACAGTAATCTTATCAACTAACAATAATTCAGTTTAACTTCTGATTCATGAGAGAAAGATATCGAGTTTAAGCTTTCTTGCAAATGTTTTTAATAACATAATTTCCTCGAATTCAATTAAATAAATATTCAAATCACCTGGTTTTTTTCTTTTTAACATACTAAAAGTTAAGAATGATGTGATCATAACAATGATAAATAAACACTTTAAATGTGCTGCCATTAATAAAATTAAAAAGACATAACCCCAAAAAAACACATGAAAAATTTATGTTGAACAAATTTTTTGTGACTTTATAGAGCTAGCATTGCCTTACACTGAAGCACTAGGCATTAATAGGATTAATTGAGTCATTAAAAAATCTTTTTAACTATACCATCTAGTACCAGAATAAAATGGGAGGCAAACTAGGGTCGGTTGACAATTTAGACCTGCCAACTTTATTGAAAAACTTTTAATTACTGTATTGAAAAAACCTGCAAAGTATTAAGGTAAATTGAAAGACACAATCAAGAACAACAAGCCAAGATAAAAAGTAATAGAATAGTGGGGAAGGCTAGGGCACATCTAGGACTGATGTGCTAGTAAAGAAAGCATTAATGTATTAAAATAAAAATGTTGGAAAAAAAGAATATATCCTTACCTCCAAATGTTGCAAGTCATATTCATGAATATTTTGAGACAAATTATAGACCTAAAAAATATAGTGAAATAAAGTAATTTATGAATTAATAATTAATGATTAAATAAATAAATATATATCAGTCATAATGAACTATTTTACTTATCATATAAAATTCAATTCAATGCAGTTTTTAATCTCGATATTTTAAACTGTTTTAATTATAAAGTTAATGCTTTAAAAAAACGGATTTATCGTAATTAGGAAACCATACTATATAAAATTGTTAAGATTTGCATTTGACGAATACTTTTGATATTTTACTAATTTATTGGATAATAATTAGAAATCCTAAGCGCGGGCCCTGTGTGTGTATATAGATACATACAGTGAAACGTCTGGGAAAGACCACCTCTATGTAGCGACATTCTCTATGTATCGACCTCCTCTATTTACAACCACTTTTGAGAGGCACAACATTTTTTCCATAGACTTTGTGTTGAAGAAAACCTTTAGGAGTAACCATTGAAAACTCTTCCCACAACCGGGCAAAACGCCTGCGCTAAATACAGAGAAGGTCATATAAAGAAACATGAAAAATGTCCACAGAAAATATAAGCAAAATAAATAAGTAGATTAAAATGCATTCCGAACATTTGTGTGAGGCTCTTATTTATAGAGCTCTTTTTGATGATCTCTGAAAGTGATCTACAACCTCATGTTGCAGTCAAAGTGCACTAAAGATGATTTATTTATTCTTAGATTTGAATGATTTATTTTTGATTTATTAATGATTTATTTTTAAAGTTGAAAGTTAAATTAGTAAAAAGTTACTTTAGAAAAAAACTAAGCATCTTAAACAAACAAATCTCTTCTCATCTTTTAAAGTTAACTAATTTTTATGTCATAAAATTAAATGCAAACTAAAAAACATAATTGTTTAGTCAAAATAGTTCTATCATTCATAATTGGAAAATTCGCTCTTACACAACATTATATCAGTAGAGATCATTTCTACTGACACACTAAATTTTAATCATTGACCCGATTTTCATGACGTCACACAAGTGGCGTTTCTGTACCAAGAAAACGACACTGACTAAAATTAAAATTGTTTATGAAAAATCATGCACCCTCGCTAACATTTTGAAGTCAATGGAGGTAATATCTAAGAACTGCCAACCTCTCTTTTAATTTTACTGGGGAACAGAGATTAGTCGCTTCCTAGAGGTTTCACTGTATGTGTAAATATATCTTTTTTAAATACTGCACTACAATCTATTCACCTTCATTATAGGTAATAAAAATAAAACATGTTTCACTAGCACCAAAAAAGTTAGAAAACAATAGCTCTTTAAATATAATTTTGCATTAACAAAAGTTTTATAGTACAATTGAAAAATGCATAGTTTCCTATACACTCAGAAAGAATAACCTGGCTATTTTGAAACTTATGACGTAACTAGTTTTTCCACTCTCGTCTTATTTATGAACATAAAAATATTACAAATCACACTTGTCATTAAAGTAAAAAGTAAATATTTTTGAAAAAAAAATATTACAAATATTAATAAACAAATTAATAAATCTAAATAAAAATAAATTTAATATGATAAATCTAGTATAAAAAGAAATTACACAAGATAACTGATAAAAGGAAATATAAATAGTAAATACAACAAAAGTAAAAGATAACTGGGAAACAATTATTGTCATTTAGCATATATTTCCAAGATGAGATCTTTCTCTTGTGTCTTAATTTCCTAAATCTTGAAGAAAAATATAGATATTTCAGTAGTGCAATATTTTTTTACTAAGTGTTACATTTTAAAAAATGTTTTTTGAACAATGTTAAAATATATTATTTATCAAACAAACAGCATACTTTCTGGGAACAAATATGAATTTTTTTTTTTTTTTTTGATAGATTTCAATTCTTAACCCTTGAAACAATGTAGGTGCCAACTGCAAAATGTGATCCCTACATTTTGATTTTAAATTTATTTTAATTTTTTCTTAAGTTTTTTTATACATTTTTACTACAGGAAATAATTGGATTATTTAGGAACAATTTTAAAGATTAATTTTAAATTTTGTCATAGAAAGCTTAACACACAATGGTTTAAATTTTTATACAATAAAAAAAAAAAAAAATTTTTTTTAATCAAACAATAATAAAAAAATGTATTTTGGTTAAAAGACTTTTACAATAGTGTGCAAAATTCCTTTGACTCACACATTTTTATCTAAAGGGATATAATAAAAAGGCAATTTTTAAAAATATTCCATTAAGAGCTATTTGCCTCTCTTTTGATTCAATTATTGGAAGCCTATTTTTCAGATTTCAGTATATTTCAATGATAAAAATTGTAAATCCAACAAAATAAATAAATAAACATTTAATCCATAAATATGATAAATACAGTTTTGAATCATTTAAAGAAGCTGCAAATAATCTGGCTAAAAAAATTTTTTTTTAAATTCATTAAGTAAAAAGTATAAATGTTAACCTGAATTGAGCTTAACATGGTACTCAAAGCAAACACCGTAGCACACTCTTTAACAGTGGAACTACTATCAAATGACCCTTGAGTATCCATTAAGAGTACTGCAACCTAATAAAATATAAGACTGATTAATTTTATTTAAAAAGTTAAGTCATATTTAAAATTAATATATATTTAATAATGCATATTTAAAAAAAAATACTTGATAGACAGTAAAACCAATTTACCTATGGAAATGGATCATATGGTAATCAATTATGCTTTTAGGAATAAACTGTTTCAAAGAAAATAAGATAATTTATTATTTTACAGTACTTAACTATAGTAACAGATTTTAGATTAAGGATGTGATGTTTCTGTTAAATAATTAAGTGCTTTTCATTTAACTTTTTTTTCTTTTTCATATTCTAATGAGCAACAATTTTGTTTATTATTTCCAGAGTAAATATTAGAAATTTTGATAGCATTAGCAAAATAGCTGCTGTTCATACAAATGCTGAAATCAAAAAATAAACACACCTGTCAAAATATATTCTTATTTATTCAGTTTCATTTACCAGGAAAAAAGAAAAAAAAATTCTTTAAAAGCTATTTTTTGTAAAGATATAACTAGGAAAATTATAGAGACATACTTCTTCACCAGATTCTAGTTTCAGAGGAAAAACTTTGCTCCATACTAATATTCCAGTAGTATCTCTTTCTGAACCACCACGCCATGAAAATCCTTTTAATGGTTCATCTTCATTACCTAACCAATCACTAGCTCCCTGAAATAATGCATAAAATTCTTGAAATTTATCTTTTTACAGTAAAATAATTTTTAAAAAAAATTATTTATGAAATTCACCAATTAAAAGTAAAAATAAAATATTGTTAATCAAAATTTGCCTTCAGCCACAATAGTTTCGACCCCCATTTCTGAATATTTTTTCGCCTTTTGTGACAATTAATAACAGGTGGATTCATAAACCTTATATTATTGACAAGTTACACATTTTTATGTCTTAGGTAGTAAAGATAACTTATTTAAATTTATTTAACATGAACCCATTAGTACCTAAATAAAGATTTTGCAATAAAATTAAGTATAATAATATTTGATGTAGAAAAATTAAATAAAAAATTACTACAAAAAAAAATGCCAAAAAACAGGGTTGGCAGGTTTTTGACATGTGACAGTTTTTGACAGTTTAAACCATGGTTTCAACCGTCACGTCAAAAACCTCACTGTCAAAAATGTCAAAAATGTCAAAAACCTATATTCATATGTGAAATTTAATTAATACATAAAATTTATATATTTTTTAAAGGATAGTGTTTCTAAATATGTTCTAGAAAAAATAAATTTAAAATTTTGAAGAAACACTTATATTTTGAATAGTAACCAAAATCTTGTACTTTTGAAAACTCACATCTTTTGTAATATTATGTATTCATTTTCATGTGTTATTGAAAATCTGCAGTGATATTATTAAGAAATTTATTTATAACCAAATTTAGTGTATAGTATAGATTATACTAAAAATTAGACATTTTTAAAGATAAACATTAGCAGTTTTGTACATTAGACATCTTTTAAAGAAAAATCTTTTTAATATTCTTTTAAATCTTCTTAATAATCTTTTTAACATAAGACAATACAAATTTAAGTGCTTTCTGTTAAATACACAGAGTAGTTAGTGTCGATTTACAGTATATTCAGCCTATTCATTTACTATGCTGAAAATTTAGTTTATCCAAATACTTGTGAATTTCATTTTGCTGAATACGATATAGTTTTGTTGAATATCTAAATATTCAGCTGTTGAATAATTACTTCTTGCTTTCAAGATATGCATTATTTGTATTCTTAATACAAGTGGAGAAAAAAAAATTAAGAGATAAAAATTGTTTTAAAATGATAAGTGTAATAATTATAAATAAATATAATAAACAATATGAATTATATTTATCATTATTCATAAATATAACTACTTTTAAATTCAAATTAACATACTGGATAATAAAGATATTCGGTATAACATTAAAAAAAATTTTTTATACACTTGTATCTTATATCAAGTTTGTATTTATACAACATAACTTGTAAGTTCCTTATAAATATTAGTTATATGTTCCTTATATGTCAAAAATGCATAGTAATAAACTTTTAATTTTCTTAAGTATCAAAAAGAAAAAAAAAATTTTTTTAAATATAAATATTTAAACAATTTTTGTGCAAAATTTTTCTGCACATGCATTTGAATATAAATTTCTGAGATTTTAAATCTGTTATTTTACCTTAATTTTAATTAAAAAATATTTTAAAACCTGCTGATTACCTATAGTATAATTAAATTTCAATATAATGCATGGCAACTGTTGGTAGTTTTGAAGTTTATATATTTTCTTGGCAAACTTCAGTTTTTGACATTTTTGACGGGTTTTTGACGGTTTAAACCAGTATTATACCCTTGTCATGTCAAAAACCACTTTTTGACGTCAAAAACCCAACCCTGCCAAAAAAGTAGTAAAATTTGTAAAATATTAATACTAAACTAAACAAAAGAAAGTTTTTGAAACAGACGTGAAAATAAAAAGGCTACTTGTATGTTCAATAGAATACTTTATATGTAACTACTCCTATTTAAAAAAGTTAAGAGAAAGCAGTACATAAACGTAATTTAAGTAAGCTTATGCAATGCATTTTAACAACTGTCCGTAACTAGACACCACAGCCCCTCCCCCTAAAAAAATGAATTACCTTTAAGCTTCTCATTCTAAAAACTGTTAGCAATAAATATCTTTAAAAAGAACTACATTTTCATATTTTGCTTTTCTCATTTTACTTTAAAACTTATTTGGTCTTTTTTTAAAATATGAATTGAAAAATTGTAAACTAAGAGTTTAATTTTTTTTTCTTAAAAAAACAAAAAAACAATAGGAAGTTGATTTATTAATGATGTTTAACATTTTCTAATTTTATGAAGTTATACACAGACTAGATAAAATGAAAAACTTTCTACACACACAAAATCTCAATTAAAACTCTCTGCAAGCAAATGATTAATTCTTGTAACTAGTTTCAACCCTTTTGACGCCACCTCATTTCAGCGAAATATGTGTTAAAAATCAGGATTTTTTTTAAAAATTTTTTTAATTTTTATAAAACTCTACATTGATTCATTTCACAGGGATGAATGAACAGGGGTAAAAAAAAAAAAAAACTAAAAAGCTGAAATAGAAATTCAAAAATGTTATGTGCAAAAACACTTTTTAAATAATTTAAAAAATACATGAAATTTGACGAAGAAATGTATGCATTTTTTCATAAATTAATATTTCATGAATGAGCTTATTTCAAGCAAATTTAAAATAATTATAAAAGCGAGATAAAAATAATAGGACCATTTAAATTAATACATTGAAAATTACAATTTTAGAACATTATATGCATGGAACAAAATAAAATTATTTTATAAATAAAAATTACGATTTATTTATTAATTGAAATTTTAAGCACAGAAAATGTAAATACAAAAAAAAAATTTAAATAAATTTTATTTTTACAAAATAAAATTTAACTTTTCTATTTTGAGGCCTTTTATATTCAAGGGTAACATGGCACTGCTCCACTCATTCTAATGGTAGCTAAGCCCTTGGTAGTTGGCCCAAGGGAGGCTACAAGTAAAACCTTTCATGTGATTTTTTATTGCTTTTATTTTTTGTTTCTTGTGTGTTATTCCCAAATTTTCACCAACATTCTACTAAGATATGGATACGGAAATCTTTCCCTACTAAAAATGTTAATATAAAAGGGATATATAATACATGAAGAAGAAAAAAATTGACATACCTGTGATTCCAAGAATCTTAGCATAAAGTTTAATAAGAATGACTTTCCCTTACGAAATGCTCCAGCAACCGACACAACCACAATTTTTCTATCTTTGATGTCATTATTTAATAGCACATTTCGTAAATTTTCTTCAATGAGTTCAAAAGAGTGATCTTCTGCACTTACGATGGTGATAGCTTCACCCCTCTCTTGATTCATTTTGCCAAAGAAGTTTTAAGAATCTGAAATGCAATACTAGATTAAATATTAATAAGTAAAATATTTCGATAAAACGCACTCAAGTGTCAGCCGGTAAGCATTACATATACAACACGAACTAATTCGATATATTAGTGATCACAGAAATAAAACATAAGTATTCATATAACGAATTATAATTTCGAGAGCCTGCAATACAAATAAATTATTTAAAGGGATAAATGTTGAAACTGTTTTATTTCAAAATATTTCCCAGTTAGCATAAACGAGGAAGGAGGAAAAAGTATTATCTTGATAAACGACTAATACAATACTAAGCTAAATTGTAAAATAAACGTTTGAAATAAGTCAAATATGATTTTAATAACCTTTAATATAAAATTTTCTTTTCCATCCAAAAATATATTAACTGTTGAACAGATTTTTCTCGCTCAATATTGATATATCAACATACAGGTAGCTCACGTGCATTTGTTTGACTCCGTCAGCAATAATAAATACGTCATTTCCCGCTACTACGTTCACTATTTTTAATTTTAAATTTAATAAACTACCAGTAATAGTATAATCTTTAGAAGCAAAATAAAATGACTATTTACTTCTTCAAATATAAAATCATTAACTAATTATCACTTCACTCAAGTTCAATTTAATCTACTTTTAGATAACCTACAGAAATGGATGTTGTTATGGGTTTTGTTTTGATTTTGTTCGTTTTCTTCGCAGTTCATCTTTTCCTTCCCATCATGCCTCAAACCTAAATTTTCAATATCGCACTGTCTTGGCTGACCGNGACAAAACGATTAAGCGATAACGATGAAAACGATGATGTAATCGACCAATCAAATGCCTCTATTTATTAAAAAAGCGGTCAGCCAAGCAACAGCCTTTCAATATTTATTTTTTCAACGATTTCAAATTCTTTATAAATTTTATTTTAATTCATTTTCGAAAAGCAATTTCAAATAATTTTTTAACTAAGGAATTTATTGCAAGAATATACTTTACTGAGAGATAAAAATAATGAATTATAGAATTAAAAATGAACTTGCGTAAATTTATTTATTAAAATCGGAGAATATTATAAGTACCAAAATGATTTAAAATGTGCATTAACTAAAAATGTCATAAAAAATAATTAACTGCATTTTAAAAAATTACCGCAGAATGCGAGGAGCGAGAGAATAAATCTATGACGTCATTGTACATATTTCGAGAGTAAAATGATGAATTCTATATTTGTTTGCATTGAGAAAAAAAAGTATTTTAAAAAATCTCAAGATATTATTAACTGAAACACATGCAAAAAAAGGAACTCCATAACTCAAAAGCGTTTTCCAAAACAAAAACTAACTATACGACCTTGGAACTCGTTTGGTACCTCTTATTGTTGATGTCCAACACAACTGTGCTTCATGGAGGAAACCAACATTAATAACTCTATTTCAAAAATTTACTCACTATTTTCATGTTCAACAACAGATCAGAAAGTGAGTTTATGCATCACTCACCTTATTCTATGCTTAAATTTATTTCTGTGATTTATGACTCCTACGATCTTTTAAATTCTGTCTGCAATATTTTGACAGGTTTTGTTATTGGTAAATAAAGGAAGCTGTTTGTAGTTCTCTTACGATGTTGGAGCAAATGCGGAGTTAAAAGCATAGCAACAAGTTATAAAAGGCATTTTTAACATCACTTTATATTTTAATTCACGAAATACGAAAAAAAAAAAATATTTTTTTGACGCTCTCTTATTTATTTGGCAAAATTGAGATATAAGCTTTCTTCGCGATTATTTTGTTTTACTACTTTCTCAATTACATCGGATGTTTACAAATTTATTTTACGGTTAATTATAAATTATTATTGCTGAGGAATCGAGTATCTATAATGATCATTGATGTACTTTAATATTATTGTGTAACAATCATACAATTTCATTGTCTGTCCCTGCAATAGGTATTGTGTAATCTTATGTCAAGATTAAAAGACTGTAGCCGAAGATGTATCTAATAAATGTTATTTATTTTCGCAATTCATCCTAAAGTTAATGATGCAATTGTACATAAATTTTATTAATTTTAATCATGATATTGTTCCCTACATACTGATCTTTACATGCATGTTGCTTCATGTTACCTCTTTGCATATTTATAATGTATTTATACCTTAATGTATCTTTTATTATTTTAAAACAAAGTGATTCAGTGATAGCGCATATGTGTGTTTATACCAACTTTGCCAACAATTCCCTTTATTCATGCCAAAAGTCATAGATGGGATGTGGAATAAAAGTTATGACACATCTCCTGGGACATGTAATTTTCCATCCAAATTATTAAAAAAAAGAGATAGAATTAGTGCTTGTTAGTTTTTCTGTTGTAAGCTAAATTAAACTAAACTATTTAAAAAATTCATTAATAAATAAAAAAATTTATTTCTTTTTATGTTTTATCAGCATAGGAACAGAATTAAACCATATTGGTGCCTTTTCTTGATAGAGGTGTTTGTTCAGTTGTAATTAAGACTACGATTCCTCAAAATACAATTTCATTCATGTTTTAAATAACTGGGGATATTTCCATATCATGATCTGTTAAGCCAACTACATCTGCCAAAGTGCCAAATGGATTTTAAATGTGGAAATTTTTTAAAGGAAAATATGTACAGAGAGAATTTTTCCTAGGAATAAAAAAGAGCAGGGCATTTCCTCTCTGAAAAGGATGCTTTGAGTTTTGAAAGGGCACTTGCTTAACACCATTAAAATGTATCAAAATGTGTATTATTATGTAATAATTGAATTTTGTCTTCAACAATTTTTAAATTACCCTTTCATAATATTTTATGCATATATTTCAAAAAGAAAGTAGTTTATAAAAATCGGCTAAACAGCAGTCTCTGTGCATTTTTTTTTTTTTTTCAAAAAAAATATGTAGTAATAAACTAACAAAAAATGATTAATTAATAAACAACTTAAAAACTTTTTTCTATAATTTAAACTGAAAATCTTACAAAAATTAACATTTAAAGGTGCATTTTTAAAAGGAAAAAACTATTTAAAAAAATAGTTTTACAATTTAAAATCACTTTAAAAATTTGTTATCCCCCCCACCAAAAAAAAAGATAGTTATAAAAATTTAACCAGTTAAAGTTAATCCTAACCGAGAAAATATTTGTAATTGGCGATCGAAATGGGCTGCAGGTGGCTTAGAGCAGAACTCTCTACCTATGGCAAGACATTGCATACTTTCCCCATTAGCCTGTGGAGAGTCATAGAAGAAGGAAATACGTTAGTCTCTCTCTTGATTTTCATATAGATTAATATCTTTTAAGCTGAAAAACTATATGGAACTGAAAACTACATTAAACATAGTTCTAAAGAAAAGCATCACAGAAATTTTAAAAAAAAATTTTATTAGATAAAAAGGAAAAATATTACATTCATTCCTATACTACTGAAAAGAGAAGGAGAGGGAAAAGAGAAGGGCCAAAAGCATGAAACTGGTTTCTCCCCAGATGGCGTATTCGAGCATTGCGATCGCCAATGGTAATTAAAATTAAACCTTATGAACACAGATAATTTTACCAGTGTGTAATTATTATTCAAACATTTAAAGTAATTATTTTTTAAATTTTCATTTTTAAAAAATGAATAAAAAGACAGTGATGGTAGCTTATTTTTTCAAAAAAAAGGTAAAGAGAGTGCATTTATTGGGATCAAAGGACAAACAGAATGTGCCATCCTTCAAAAATCTCGCTTAGGGAGAACACTAGTAGAGATTTGCCCAAGGTTGGCTGCAAGTTATATCCTTTGAGTTGGTCCATGGCTGCCTCGAAAGAAGGAGTTGTAGTTGAAGATGGGGCCTTAATACTAATAATGATCTTCAGCTCTGACATCACACATCATGATCTATTTTTCAGCTGGTTTTGAGTTAGTCTTATGCTGTTGATTCTAACGTGTTGTAAATCATTTATAAAATCGTCAAAAGTCACTTCATGACTTGGGAGATACAGATTGTACATCCTTGTTTTAAATAATTTCCATTCATATATTCTTTATTAATTTCTAATATTGATTTTTAAAAAAAAGAGATGTATATAAAAGCAATGATGGCTTTGTTACTATGCATTATCTTGGATGATAAGAACAAAGAATTCTAGTTTTAGAATTTTAAAAAATTTCATAAAATTGCTAAGCAATGTTTTCCAAAACTTATTTAAAATGAGTTTTATTTTACAAGTGGTAATGAAAAATAAATTATATATTTTATTTTGTTCTAGTAAAGTGCAACAGTACACACACCTTATATATATATATATACACAATAATGTTTAAGCTTTTGGTGAGGTTATGTCTTTTAAACACTCGATTTGTGAAAAAAATATTTCGAAAAACTGATAATAATAAGTTCAAATTAAATTAATTTAACTGCGGGTGTCTGACATAAATCACAAGAAAGCAAAAAATGAGAAATCATTTACAAATTGTCAAAACTAACTATGTGAATTTATTTGTAATTTAAATATAAACTTCACTGAATTTCGAAGCTGACATTTGAATAAAGAATTCTAGACAGTTCTTAACTTGTAAAATATGATATATTATTAATTTGAAATTTTTAACTTTGGTGACTGTTGAAAAATTTTTGGTGTTTGACATAAATTCTTAAGGTTAGATAAAAGTTTAAGTTAATGATAACAATTATAAATACTGAAAATTTCTTTAATCTATCTTAATGCTACAAACATTATTTTTTACCATTCAGCTTCTTAAAATTTAAATTGTCCTCTATTTCCTTTTCGAATACTATCATGCAAAAGAAAAATCAGTGTAATCGACAAAAAATTCAAAATTGGGATTTTTATATATTTGGCTTTTTTGTATAATAAGCTACTTATTGCAAAAGAACTTTTTTTTTTTCAAAATTAAATTTTGTTATATCATTTTTTTGGAAATTCTATTTCAGCTTTCATAGCATTAGCAATAGAAAGAAAATAGTTATCAAGCCACTTTTCTCAAAATCTACCGTTACTACTTATGTTGTTTTTCTAATTGCATGGCAGAATAGTTGGATCAATATCTTTTATAACATATTGTATCTTGTAAAACTTAGTTGAAAAATTGGACGGGACACGACCACTTCTAATTTTGAAATTTTCAGTCTTGACATTGTAATTTTAACTATGCAGGGTATATTAACAACAATGTAAATACAACTCATAGTTAAGCACTATTTCCTTAAAACTAATAATTTTAAAATTCCTGAAATAAAAAAATTAATAAAATTTTATTGCTATATTTATCACCTGCATAAAATTAAATGATAGTTTTGTACAGTTTTTACAATCTACTGTATTTGATGTATCAAAGTAGACGCTGTTCAGGGATGAAAGTTTTCCGTATTTTTACGGATTTCCGTCTTTTTAAAAAAAGAAACAAGACGGAGCGAAGCGGAATATTACTAATCTTCTATAACTAATTATTCTCGAAGGAGTTAAATCATTACTCTTTATTAATCACTCTTTTTTTATGTACTTTTATTTCAAGAATTGTAAATTTTTATTTTTTAATTAAATATAAATTGATAAATGTTTTAGTTAGTAATTAAAATTTCTTAATTTTTATTTTTAAAATTGATAAGTATAGATATACCGTAAAGATAGTTGTATACATGCAATATGTTTTTAATCAATATATCTTAATTTTAAGCATTGTAGACTTAACATTTATTAAATATCAACATTTTGTTGAATATTAATTTTACTATTGAACTATGTTTTGCTTGAATTGTTTTTGTTATTTATTAACAAAGTATTGACTTAGCTAAGTATTATTCTTTTTCTTAAAATGCTAGCACTTTATTTTATTAGAAAATTAAATGCTTGAGAAAAATTAAAAGCTGAGGTAATTTTTTCGTGAAATAACTAATTGCTTTGCATTTTTTGTTTATACTCCTGAATAACAGTAGGTTTGCTTAAATAAATATTGAATTTTTATTAGCCTTATTTGCATTTTGAGTATTTTAATTTTTATTGAAAAGTTTGTTCACAATTTTTTTAAAAAAGAATTTTATATGTAATTTTTTGTTTACTTAAAATTATTGGACGGGACACGACCACTTCTAATTTTGAAATTTTCAGTCTTGACAATTTTTGAAACTTTCACCCCTGACGCTGTTATTGATACATCTTTTACTTGTATTTAGTGGCATAGCTATCAGGGGACAAGAAAGAACTAATGTCCCTTGATGTAGCCTTAGAGATGCACCAAATTGATGAAAAATAATTCGAAGAGAGTTCCAGAATAAATTTTTTTCTCTTTTTCCCAGTCTCATTTGCTAATTAATGGCCCAATAATAAACTATGGATTAATATTCTAGGACTTATCTATACTACCTTCGGAATTTATCAGATCGTTATTTACCGAGGTTAGCGAGATAAAAGAATGTGTGATAGGTTTGAGGTAGTTTTACTCTATGACAAAGACATTTTAATCCATTTAACCTAAAAATTGAATAGATCATGTATTATTATTGTAGTTTACCTTGCATGTATTATTTTTTACAAACAAGACAAAAAGAAATAATGCATACTTATCACTCAATCAAAAACAATCATCTAAGTGTAATAGAAAGAATACTGTTCAATTTTAAACCAAATGGAATGAGGGTTTTTATATTGTCGGGTTACGCTGATTTAGAGTTGTGAAATCATATTCAATGTAAAATTAAATTAATAAATTTAGTTTTAATTAAATTAATTTTATTAAATTAATAAATTTAGTTTAAATTAATAAATTTGCAGAATCTAAACTTGTAACAGTCCAGAAATGTCCCCTTAAGTTTGACATTATATCATCTATATATATTATAGGTATATCAGATGCGCAAAAACTTAATTTATCCCTACTACTGTAAGCCCTAACTACGTCTTTACTTGCATTACCAAGGTTTGGTACTTACATTTGAATGTGTATGGCAACCCTTTAGCCAGCAATTGTGCTAACCCAAATATAAGCATGTACAACAACAACAAATAGTTTCTAAATACGGGTGAGTTGCTTTTCTCAAAAAATTAATAACTGCAGAATATTCTGAAAAAAGATTTTATTCCAAATACAAGCACTTTTCAAGCTCTTCTAAACAAAATGATGGGTTTAAAATGCTCTAAATTAAGTTGCGTTGTTTCTCGAAAAATTAAAATTGAGTTGCTTACCTCAAAAACTAGATAAATAAAATTGTTAAAATAACTTAAATAAATTTTCATTGATCAATTTTAAGTTCGTAATAAAAATAACTTTAAATACACCATAATTAAGCAGATTTTATTAGGTTACTGAGGAGAAATACGTAATTTTAAATTAACCTAAAGGAATATTTAGATGATTTCTATTCATATTTCACTTTCTTTTATAAAGAAAAAGCAAAATATGTGATAGAAATAGAAGAAAACAAATGTAATGAAAGGAAAAGCAGTGGTGTCGGACGTAAAAATTATTAATTTACAATAAAAATAATTTTTTTTTAAATAGACTAAACAAATGAGGCTTAGAATCTTGCTTTAAAGGGAACAAATAATTTTATTATGTTAAATCTTAGTGGTATGGCACAATCACGTAAAATATCAAAAGTACATCTTAGGAATTTTTTTGTGAATCAAATTGTGAAATGTTTCTACACATTTGTGCAAGATGACCTGTTTTGATACAGTTTACTTTAATTATTATTTATTCCATTTTCTATTACTAGAGTGTATTTTTCAGAAAAAATTGTACTTGTTAGAGATTCTCTTACTGTGGTTAAAAACATGTGGTCATTTAACAGCCTGTAGCTTATTGAAAACTGAAATTAATAAGTTAATATTTCTAAAACTTCAGTGTTTTGCCTTGAAAATGATACCTAGTTTGTTTAAAAATATTAAATTGAAAATTTTGGTCGCCTGCTTGACCTTACTGTAGAATTGCTCAACGGTAAAATTTTGAAGGAATATTTACAATCTTTAAAAAAATTTAAATGTTTGAACAGATCACAGTTAGCATTTATTAAATAAACTAGTTAGAACTTCTAGTTATAAACTTCAAACTAGTTATAAACTTCATTCATTCAGATCTTTACAACTTTTTGTATTTTTGATAATTTTTATTGCACTTACAAAAAAAATTACTTATTGCTAAAGAAACTGAAGTATGTGTATAAAATTTATACTGTGTTTAATTAGAATAAATTAAATTTTAGAACATTTTGTACTGAGCTACATTTTGTATACTCTAATTCTGTAGTTAAAAAATGACTGAGGACTTCTAATTTTAAGTAATTTTATGTAAAAGAAAAATTTTTAAAAAATAACTTGTAATATGTTTAGGTACATTGTTAGTTTTATAGTTCCTCGCGTGGCCACTGCTTAGAAGTCGTCAAAACTTATTAATTATTTTGGTGCAGGTAACGATACAAGAATCTTCCCGAGGTTGAAATTATATTTATTTATTTAATGTATTAAGCCTTAATGTCAATTCAAGATACAATGTTTTTTTTTCTGCACAGAAAATTAGTTTTCCTTCATGTTGTTTAATAGGGATATCTCAGCAGGGAAAATTGTATATGAATTCACCAAGTAGTATATCAGTTATTGAGCTAATTATATCTGATTAATTTTGGAGCCACTAAGTTATTAATTGAATTTTTTTTTTCTTCCATAGATAAGTATTGAAGATACAAATAAAAACTGGCACTGGACTAATCTTCACAAAGTAATGAAACATGTGAAAAATTTAGTTCAACCTTTTTGTCTTCATAAAGCTAAAAGGAAAAGTATGGAACAGGCCTACAAAAGCTTGTTTTTAATCATGCTTTCTGGTACTTTTATATAGAATGTCTGCCAGTGGATTTCAAACTGTCGCCATCTCTACTCCCACCACCCCTGTTACATCCTCTAACACATTAGAAAATTCCACCTCTGATCCTGATTTATCCAGCCAAGAAAGATCTGTAAATCAACTAGCCACGCACATGCTTCTAAAAAGAGAAAATTCTCCCGATGTATCCAGTCCAGGATATATTGTTGAGTCTGCACATGGCCATTCTCAGTCAATTTCACAGAGTATTGATGCAGATTATAACTCAAATTCCTTCAACTTTTCATATGGTATGTCTTTTCAATATTTGAATCTGTGACAACTTCTACAAGATTTAATTACTGTTATTAATATTTCTTCTGCTAATATTTAGAATTTTTGAATGAAATATTGTAAAAGAAAAAAAAAAAAACTTATGTATATTTGGAAGTCAACATTTTTAAATATAATTTTTATTTTGTTAATTTCTATATGTACTGTTGTAACTAAGGTGTACTTATATTAAAGGAAAACCTGATATAATAGTATTTCATTACATGCAACATTAAAATTTTACATTTCAACCTTAATCAGAACTATAAAAATAAAATAAAAATTAACATATATAAAAGATTTAAGAAATTAAATTAAAAATGCATACTAAAAAGTAAAATATTAGAACGACGGAACTACTTATTATGTGTATGTGTGTAAATACAGTGAAACATCTTGTTATGGACATTCCTGCAAAATGAAGGCTTTTCAATGCGGACATATTTTTAATTTCCCATTAATCTTCATTAAATAAACCATTATGTGCATTCTCTGCAAAGTGGACACTCTTGTAACTGGATGTGGACAGTCATTTTTGTCCTGAAACATTATTTTCTATCTCTTCAAACTGGACACTATCTTTTTTTAAATTTGAAAAAATCTTTTTCCGTTTTAAATTGCTAGAAAAAAAAATATGAAACTTTTCACCATTTTTAAAGCATGTAAATTTTTTGCCTTATCCATAACTAAAGATATTGTTGCTCTATTTCACTACTAAAGAATCAATCTTTCGCCTGTCACCTTGCCTTATCTTTGCAACAAAAAAAAAGGAGAGAAAATGATAGATACTGCTCATTCGGGCAACGGCTTCTTTAGATCTTTTCATCTGGACGACGCAGATTATGAGACCCCACAAGCTGAAATTACGTCTTAAATGCTCTCAATGCTTCTTCGCCACTGAAATTTTTTTTCATTTTCTTATAAATTTGAAGACTGTGTTTAACACAGCCGGGATAAATATAAAAAAAAGAGAGAACAGCAATACAATCTTTGAGGTGTAATAAATGAAACATTTATTCAGACACTTGATAGATGATTAATTGTGAATATATAAACTCCATGAGTCCTTGTACTTTACAGGTAAGCATCTGTAAATCGCATCAGGTATTAACCACATTTCCTATCAAGTGATAGGTGCTAGGGGATGTAAACCTAATAATTGAAACACACGGAGGGGTTTATTTTATTCATTTCCAGCTAATGTATGCACCTAAAACAAACTCAGAACTAAACTAGATACCAATTACAAATTCAATTGTATCAAGCCTATAATTGTAAGAGTTTCATTGATAAAACGATCATTAAAAAAGTTTCATTTTTCACATTAAATATTATCAAAATAATTGGCAGTATTTCTTTGGTCAGTATATTCACGGCTTCTAATAAATTTTATTTATGTGTTTGCAGTTCCACAAAAAAATGCTTGATCATTTAGAGTTCCATAGGTATAAAAAATTAGGAACCACTGCTTTAAGTGACATTTTGTATTTGAAGCTGGTCTTTGCGGATTTTGGACAAAATTCAAAAATGCTGTATTTGCTATTCTTTGCTTAGAAGAATGCACATGTACCCTCATTTTTGTTTTGGCAGTTGTTTCAGATAGGCATATTTTTTCCATTAGTTCTTTTTAATGAAGATTATTTTTGGAAACAAATCCTTGTATCTGTTTTCTAAATAAAAAATTAAGAAAATAGGAGGGGTGGAAAAAAAATTTTTTTTGCATTTATTTATGCTTGTTCTCAATGATAACTTAAAAATTTCTTTAGAGAGGGTTGGAGTCAATACCCTCCTCACAAAACCACCAACGTTATGTATTATTATTTATTTTAATTTTAAAAAATGCTACTAAATGTCGCAACACAACTATTTTTATTTACATCTTAACTGTTAATAATTGATATATTTTTTCTAGATGGGAGCTTTTCTTTATCTCCTCAGCACAGTGTGGACATGAAGGATCTAGAAAAAAATGATGCTTCCAGTGTCATATTGTCTGGACAATCCTCTTTGTCAACTGGCTCTAATGCAAGCCCTAAGTCTTTCATGGCCCTTAGTATAAATGAAACCAAAAATGATAAAATGATCTCTGGATTTGATGGTCGGGTGGATGGGCTATCACCTTTGTCGGTGATAGCTGTTTCTGCTTACCAAGATGCTGGTCATCCTAGTCCAAATGTACCAAGCAGTATGCTATCCAGGACTCATGTGCTGCGTTTCCACCCTGGTAGTGACACTATGCTTAGTGCTTTAAATTACACCGAAAGCGATATGCTTCAGGAGGGAGGGTTTGATGTCCCTTCCTCTCATACTTTCAGCACTTTGGATGGCTTGCTTGGTACTGCCACTGCCCCTGGTATGCGTCTGCCAGATTTACTTGATGGTGAAATAAATCAGGAAGCATATATTGAAGCTGGTCAAGAATTACAGCTGTCTCCTCAAACTTTTCCTTCCGCTAATGATGCCTTTGCTGTGAGAGAAAATTCTCCACTTACTGGGCTTAGTGATAATACTTTGATTAAAGCAGGTAAATTATACATTTCTTTACGTTGAATTAATTTACTAGAATTTGTGCCTCATTTGTTGTTTCAGTATTTTACAGGATGTGTATGAACTTTCAAAATGTTAAAGCTTGTACATATTTGCTTCAATTTCTTGAAATAATTAATATTAAATCTTAAAAAATTACAAACAAACAAAAATCATTTTTATGTTATTGAGTTGTTTTCTAAAAAGTTTTTGTTATATCTTCATATCTCTAAAAAGATGTAAGATTCATTAAACAATAAACTAATTCATGATAAAATTACTCAGATCCACAAAATTTTTCGGCTTCTTGTAATCTATTACTTAAAGTTTTAGTATCCGTCATACCAAAGTGATCTAAAATTTCCCACTATTACTCAGTACTATAAATCCGTTTTCATTTGAAAATTAACTCCAATATTTTACTAATCCCACATATTTTATTTCCAGTTTGTTATTAAGATAAATTTTACATTTTTCAGTTTTATTGGAATCTTCGGGTATAAATATAATATTATCAACATAGTTCATTATAAGTGTTAACCCTTTTTCCTTCTTAATATAATATAAACAGAGATCTGCACTTCATTGTTTTTCTCCAAAATTAGTCAAAATTTCATTTAATTTGTTATTTTAACACTTAACTGCCCGGTTTAAACCATAAAGTGATTTCTTTAGAAGAAGAACTGTTTATGAAGAAAAAAGAAATAAGTAAAATAAGAAAAAAGAACTGCTATCTTTTTTCTTAGGTATGCTAATGTCTGAATTTTCATTTACATTTAATTTAAAAGTTCTATCAAAGTAATCAGGACATTCCATAAATATTTTCTGTTTTTATTTATCTAAATTTACCTCAAGATAGTTTTGAAAGAATAAATTTCAATTTAAGAGTGAATAAAATGGAATAATTGGGATTCATATGATGTTTCAAGGAAAAGAAGAACGTGCTTAGATTTCATTTACATAGTAAGTAAAACAAGTGTAATTCCAGAAATCAATAATTTAATAAAACGTATAAGATCCTCTTTTAGCAAAAACTTTATTTTGAAGCAAATGCAGCTCAATAAACCACCAATATTTAAAGAATTTTAACTTTAAAATTCTTGCATTGATTTTCTTTCATTGAAATAACAAAAGAAACAAACAGTAGAAAATTACTCTTTTGATTTGCTCTCCAGTCACGTGGTTTTATTCTGAGGGAAAAAATTATCATTATGGATGCACTTTATTTACATTTCACCTCTATAGATAATAAAAATCTACATGTATATACAGTTATAATAAAAATCAAGACAATATTTAAATGGAATGAAATTTTTTGCAGAGATCAAGAACAAAGTCACTGAAAATGCTTCAACTACTCTAGTAGTAGACAAATTGAAAGTTAAAGCTCGCCCTGTCAAAGCTACTTCTCCTAATAGACCAGGAACTCAACCTTGTCCTACTTGTGGTAAAGTATTTAGCAACTCCAGTGCTCTAACTAAGCACAAATTAACCCACAGTGATGAAAGGAAATATGTTTGCCAGCTTTGTGCCAAAGCTTTTAAGCGCCAGGATCATTTGTGAGTAAATTTCATTCATTAAACTTTAAATTTTTTTCCGCATTTTTATTCAAACATGTTGTTTAACATTCATATTCTAAAATTATGTGATAATTAGATGGGAGAAAAAAAAGAGTTGAAAGAATATTCCTGCTTCCATTTAAAATAAAAATATTATTTATAATTACAAGAAGAAAAAGTGATTTACAATCCATTATCTAGCTATATTTGTGTAAAATTTCACTATTTGTTATTTTTTGGATAGCATCATAGCATCCCTGTGGAGTCGTCCCAATTCATTTGCTGTTAAATTTAAAGAAAACATAATATTGTGAATACTACTAGTAAAATAATATTGGAAGCTTTGGCATAGAATATAATATAAATCGAAGTAGTAACCTAGAAGTTTTATTACAAATTGTAACCCCTTTTGCCACCTGTCCTTAACTTTGTACAGTTCTCCATCCATGTTGTTGAAAAAGTAGTGGTTAAAAAAAAAAAAATAACTGGCCGTTTAAGAATAAATAGTTTTACATATTTAGAGCTTTACAATATATTTGGAATAAGTGTTGCCAGACTCGATACACTGCTTCGAAAGGGTTAGATAAATTTAAAGATTGTAATGATTGCCCAACTTTGTATAAAAGATTAAATGCCTCTATGTGTACTTTGTATTGAAATGTCTCTATGTGTGCTGTGTAGTTCATTCCACTATTTATTGTTCATATAAATTTTAAAAAATTATTAATTTTATTAATTAAATTTTCCTTTTTTTAATATTTGGACTTAGAGGTTGGGCAGCTCCAAAGAGCAGTGCACATTGATCAGAGGTTTATTGTACCCAAACCCTAAATCATGATTAACAAGAAAACCTTTAAGCTGAAATGAAGTTCAGCAAACACCTGACAGGAACGTCTTGCAGTTCATAGGCCTTAATGCAATGTTGCCCTAAATGCTCACATCTTTGAGCAGAATAGATCTCACAATCACAAAGTATATGTCGTGAAGTCTCCTCTTCAAGATGACAATCTCGACAAAGAGGATTAGATTCAATACCCAATATGTATAGGTGTCTTCTGAGAACGCACTGTCCTGTGAGAAATGATCTTCCTCAAACAGTTCCTGTTTAGCTTAATGAGCTCTTTTTGATATAGACTAGGACAGTCACAATTCAGCATTTTAACTTGTCTCTGACCATCCGAGTGGCGCCATTGCTCATGGGCAATTTTGCCATAGAGCTTGAATATAGATGTCCTGAATGATGTGAGAGAAATTCCCAAAGCTGGTTCAGGGTCCCAGAAAGAAAATCGCACCAGAGCCAGCCCATGCTGCTTCATCAGCCAGCTCATTTCCAAGAATGCCCATATGTCCAGGTACCCAATGTAGGTATACCTTGTTATGAGTAAAGACGTCACAGAGGACCAATAAGCACTCCCACACTAGTGTAGAGGTAAATTTGCATATTGATGGTGACAGGAGAGCAGCCTGACTGTCGGAACAGATGTGGATAGGCATATTTTGATATTCCCTGTCTAGGTATAGAACACAAGATAATGGCATAGACCTCAGCCTGAAAAACAGTGGCATAACTACCTAAGAGAAAGTGAAGTTGGGTATTATTATTGGAGCAATAAATTCCTGCCCCTGATTTAAGACCAAGCCTTGAACCATCAGTGTACCATATTAGGCATTTGCCTTTAAGCCACCGAGGAGAATTAAGCCATTCATCTCTAGTAGGAAAATGGATCTTGAAGGGCTTGTGAAAAGTGTATCTTAGTGACATATAATCACTAGACATAATAAAAGAGGGAATATCCAACATTTACGAAACAAGATGACCCCATGACAAGTGTTTGGAATATTCCTTCCATAAGAAAAGGTACATAAGACGCTTAATACCAGTTTGAGCTTCAATTTTAATAGCGTAGATTCAACGGAAGAAGCCCAGATAAGCTCTCCAGAGCAGCTGAGGGGGTCTTGAGACAGTCTGTCAAGGCTGCGCAGACCATTTATTGTAGTCTGTTAGTCTGTCTGACCTGACGGAGCTCATCCTAGTCCTAGACCACCAACTGCACCATGTGTGTTAATAGGACTAATAATCATTGAGTACACCCAGTAAACTATCTTGGGGGATAATCCCCAGGTTTTACCATAGCATTTCTGCAAGACCAGAAAATCTTCTTGCTCTGCGGATACAATATTCTAAATGATAACCCCAGTTAAGTTTGAAGTCATAATAAACACAGAGAAACTTGACTTTCTCATTAAGTTCCAACCTATAGTCTAGGTAATACACCATCACCTATATTAAGATGCCTTTTTTCTGGTGATGGCCACAAGTCTTATCTTGGAAGGATTAACAGATAAGTCAGAGCACCATCTAGCTACTTCTAGAAGTGCACCATTCATGATTTCAGAGACTGTTTTGCCATGCTTGCCTCTGACAACAATAACACCATCATCAGCATACCCAACACAGGGAATACGAAGAGTGGTTAACCGAACTAACAAATAGTCCATAATGATACACCATACCTGGAGGACAGCAAATTAGCTATCTACCTGGTGATGACCAAATTGATACCTCTGGTTTTAAGAGCTTTGATGATAGTCTCAGCAGATACTTTGTCAAAAGCACCTTCGATATCAATAAATACCGCCAAAGCAATCTTTTTATCTGAGAGGGTTTTCTCAAGCATGTAAGAGAGCTCATTTATAGCAGAGTCTGTTGACTTGCCAGGTTGAGAAGCATGCTGTGAGGACGACAGTGGCTTATCTATGAGTACAGAGTCTCTAAAATATCTGAATAAAAAAGCTTTGAATGACTTTCAACAGACAGGAGGTGAGGCTAATTGGTTGCCTCAAAGTAATTTTCCTTACCTGGTTTTGGGATGAAAATTACCCTCATATTCCTGCAAGAATGAGATATATACCCAAAGGCTATACAGACTCGAAAGATCCTACATAGAATATGTGCAAATATGTTAACCCCTTAATAAGCATTATAGGCATAATGTCTTCCATATAGGATTATTATAAAGATATTCTTTTTCTACAGAATGAGATCCAGGGAAGTGAGTTTTAAGTAATTCTCCACAAGCCTCCTCCTCTGACTCACTATATTTTCTGTTTGTAAGACAGATAGCATTTAGGTTGCAATTATAATCTTTCGTAAGGGTTTTTGCAACCTTTACGGTGGCAGAGATCGTGTTAATACAGTCACAGAAAGTCTGCCAAGAGAAACATTTAGCAGCCTAATAGCCTTATTATAGGTAGTTAGAGCGTTTTTGAGAACTGCCATTCCCCCGATTTCTTTGCTCTGTTAAAAAGCTTCCTACATCTCTTATGTAATTTACTAAGCTCAGAAGCCCACCAAGGAACTCGTCTTGGGGAGCTAGTGGACGTAACATTACAAGAAATATGATGTGAATAGAGTATGACGTTGCACTTGATCAACAGTCCACTCCACATCATTAACATTATCATACTTACCAGAAAGGTTTCCCATTTTTCTCCCCAGTGCTGTCCGTGTTTTGGGGTTCCTCCTTGTGACCTTCAGTCCAGTGAGGCCTTTAATGGAAAATGTAATTAGTTGGTGATCTGAAGCAGTAACTGCATGAGATACCTGCCAATCAGTAATGTAATCTGCAGAAAATAAATTACATAAAGTAAGGTCAATCACTTCCCTTCTGTTACTCGTAACAAAGGTGGGTTCATTGCCTTTATTGAGAACAAATAAGTTATAGAATGAAATATGTTCTATTAATGCATCCCTCCTCTGATTTCAATTACTACTGTCCCACACAGTGAGCATTTGCATCGCAGCTGAAGATGAGTCTGCAGCTAGAACTACAGTGGCCAATCATTGCTTTGGCAACATCAGCTGGTGGGACTTTCTCCTCATAAGGGAGATAGGCAGAAACAATGACAGTCAGAAACTGTTTCTTTGTCATAGAATTTTATTTTAACAGCAACTAAATCCCTATGGAGAAAGTTGACAAGATTAAGGGCATTTAGATTAGAGTTAGCCAATCTGCGGGCTCAGGGAGGGTCACAACGGATATCATAAAAAGTATTAAAACCCTTGATGTTGAGGACCATATTTGGGCTACTGAATGTTTAAATACAGTGCTTTTTGATCTCATGTTCGCTACTTTTACAGCTCCTGACTCACAACACTGAGTATAATTAGAGTAAGAGTAACAAATATAATAAAAAGCAAAGAACCAAATTTTTAAATTAGTTATATGTTTTCCACTGGTTTTTGATTTGAAGTTGAAAAGGGTAAAGTGCCTGCCAACTTTGCAAAAAATCAAAATAGGTTAATAAAAAAAATTCTTTTGTTTAATTTCTCTTTTAATTGTTTAGTAATGTTGATTTCATTTGTTTTACATTATTTAGTGATATGTAAACATACCTTGAAAGTGGGTCCAGATTAATGAAATTTTTGAGTTACTTGTTTCTTGAAACAATCAGTTAATTTGAATCCTTTCAATTTGAATCAATCACAATCATTAAATTATAAACAAATGCCTTAAAAAAATAATCTCAAACTTTAACACTTCCTTCTTTCTTAAGAAATATAACTGGATTATCCTTCTACAGATTAAACAACTATTTAAAGAAAAGTTTTAAAACATTTCTATATTAATTTACATAAATACTAATATTATGTCCTCTAATTAAAATAATCCCAAAAAAAATTCGGCGTTCTTAAGAGATTATATAAATAACAATAGAAATAGCAGTGAAATGAAACTTTAAAATTTAATAAATCTAAAATGAATTTAAAATTTTAATAAAAAGTAAAGTTTTGCAGCTTTTTTTCTGGATTAAATCATGCAACTCGAAAAAGAAAAAATTGTAGGATATTTCCTTGTTTTTCTTAACAAAATAAAATGACCCAAATGAAATATTGTCAGGTTCTAATGCAATTTGAATCTCATAAAACTAAAATTGTTTTTTACTATCTTGTACTTTTTATTGTAAATATAAAATGTAAATTATTTGCTTTATTAATGTTTTCTCTTACTGAAAGCCATTAAATTTTTTTTTGTAGGAATGGTCACATGCTTACTCACCGAAACAAAAAACCTTTTGAGTGTGATGCTGAAGGTTGTGGAAAGAGCTATTGTGATGCGAGATCTCTAAGAAGACATAAAGAAAACCATCATTCCAACACATCATCCAGTCTGTCAACATCCATAAGCAATCAGGTGTCTGTGATACCTGGTCTAGCCCATTTGGGTTTTAATGTGCAATCATCTTTCCCAGCTAGTGTAATTACAAGTAGTTCAAGTCCTGCTTTTTCAGAAGCTTCTTTGGTTAACAGAATACAATATGCACCACCACCTCCATCGGCGACTACATCTCTCGTCACACGTGTTACTTCTACTAATTCTGAAAGTACTTCTCGAACAGCGGCTAGCTCTATTGTTAGTTCTGTCTTACCTACAGCTACTTCCCACTTACAGTTTTTAACATTCCAACAGCAGTCAAAGAACCAACAGGGTACATCACCAAAGAATATTACCAAATCAGAAAGTAATTCTGTTTCTTCGTGGCAACCACAGACAATCAACACGGGTGCTTTGCTTCTAACCCAAAATTTCGGAGCTTCTCAATCACTAAATCAAACACAATCAGCGTTGATATCAAGAAGCTTTGAAGCATCTAATGGAGAACAAGGAAATTCATCAGGGTCAGAGCTTTCTCAATCACAGTTGCTCTCAATAAAACAAGAGCCTAAAAAAGTCGATGGGTCTCAAGATTCAAGAGAACAGATTTCTCTTGAAGAAGCTGTGTTGTCTGAGGCTTGCTTTGAAGTTGTAAATTCTTCAACTGGAGCTAAGCAGATTGTTGCCCTCACACCACAAGGGTCCATGAACTTGCAGTTTGAATCAGCTCCTGGTACTGTTGTTCGTATACAAGATGGAGATTCTCTGTATTCACGTTCATCTATGCAAATCGTAAAAATTGAACCTTCTGATCAAAGTAACACAAACTCTGTTCCAACAACACCCACAGTGAAAGAAACCACTAATGGATCTCAAATTGAGAGCCCATTGCTCCAGCAACTTCTTAATCTTAAGCAGCATAGTGATGTTAACTCAACAAGCATTTCCAATACCCGATCGGAGCATACTTACTTAACCTCATTGCAAGAACAACAAAAGCAAGTAAATTCCAATCAACAGTCAGTTCTAATGACTTCATGGTCTCAGGTAATTCTAATCTAGTAATTTTTATTATTATAAATACTTGCATTAAGTTCTTTTCATTTGCTGAATGGAATGAAGATATTTACATTAATTATGCTAGGATTCATTGTAAAGTATTTTAGTAACTTCAATATTCCTGCAAGCAAAATTGCCATTGATTTCTTGCTTTAAAGTGTATTTAAGATTTTATAAGAACGATTATAAAAATTTTATGTTATTGATTACTGATATTCTAAGTTTTTAAATGGATGATTATTCTATCATAACTATTTCTGAAAATCTCACTAATAAGCTAGTAATGCAGGTGGTAAGTAAACATGCCTTTTTTCATTTGAAGGCATATGTTTACTTAGTATCGTATTAAAACCATTTCTTTAATAGGCTTCTATTAGCATTTAAAAATATTCCTGGACATTTAATAAATACAAGTAGTAAGTGTCTAAGCAATTAAAAAAATAATAAATAATGAAAAGATTTTTAAAAAATTGCAATACAGGCTTTTCTCTTCAAGAGAACTATTTCCATTCATTTTCATCTTTTTGTAAAATTTATTTTAAATCATGCTTCAGATATTTATTATAGCAGCAACTATTCAGCTGTTTTTTATTATTTGTTTACTTATGGGACATTGTAATCTCAATGGAAAATTTGCAAATCTAATCACTGAAATCAATACTACAAGTTGTTATAAAGCAAGTTATATAATGATGCTTCTTCTTAAAAAAATATTTTTAAGTTGTAGAATTTGGACATCTGGTTTCTTAAAATTAATAATTGTTCTTATTTTTTTAAGTACATATCCTGTACTACGAAAGAAAAGGTTAAAAGGCTTTTAATAAAATAGTGTTAATCTATTCTAATTTTAATAAAATATAGTAATGAGAAATAAGTTGAGAATTTTTATTTTAACTAATTAGGCTAGAATAATCAAAATCAATCTAAAAATTCAATAGGTTCAATTTATACTTTTCAGTTAGTCATGTTTAAATGCATTACATAGTATGTATATTCCAAAAATGTCCTAATTTGTTTGAAAAATGCTGTCTTAATGTTTTCTTTGGCCCTGATTTTATTGTTATTACAGCCAATAGATCAAGGGATGATTTAGAGAGTTGAAATATTTTGTCAAAAAGCTTTTATTTCAAGTCTGTTATTGTTACATAGCCTAATGTAAAACATTTTATGAATTCTTGTGTGATTAGAGTGTTGTTGTTATTATTATAAATTCTATTTATTTAACAGAAATCTGGAACAGTTAAAAAGGAACTTAAAAAATAGCTGGAAACAGCTATGGTCAAATAACTAAATTGGAAAGAAGATATTTGATTCACATTAGAAATCCCAAGCCTAGAAAATACTTCTAATGAAGTCCTAGATTTGAATTATAGATATCCTGTGTGATTCATAGTTATCATCAGTAGAAGAATCATTGAATTGTTTCGATGAATCCGAAATCTGGCTGCTTGAAAACGACAAACATTTTCTATCATAAATAATACTGCGATATCAAAAATATTTTAATCATATTTCATTATTATTTATGATAGAGAAATTAAATGCATTTGAATGTTTTTTTGAAACTTTATTATATACATAGTCTAAACTAAACTCAGTGGCGGGACAGCCCATAGAGAGCTAAGGCCTAGTGTCCCCATCTCAGTTTTCTTGACCTTTGGGATCTGAGGTGCAAGAGCAGATCTTCCGGTTGAGGGGTCAGCCCAACTCGGAATCGCCAGTATTTAGCTCATTTTATCAGCCCACTGAAGGGATCATTTCCCAATGCACCCTTAATACCAATGGTGTCAGATAATTAGGATTATTCTGTGCTAGTTACTTAATTTCTACTATTCCTATCAAAGAATTGTTTTCATGTATTGCTTAGTTAAGAATAAAGAACTAAAAAATAATTATAAATTATAATGTAAAATTCTAAAAAAATAAATTAAAAAAACTCCTTTCAAATTATGAAAAATTATTTTAGCAATGAGTCCAGTTATAAACATATTTTACATCAGTAGTATATTAATGTGTATTTATTTACTCTTTTGTTTTTAGGTACCATTTGCGGGTACTAATGCAAACTCATCTTCAAGATTCAGGTAGGTTTTAATATTTAACTTCTTTATTTTACTTTAAAAAGTTTTTTTTTTCAATAAAATTAATTTTTTATTAATTTCAAACTCAAACCTATATGCATGTTCCTGGAGGTATTCAAGAATAATATTTATAATTTTGATATAGGAAACGAAAGTAAAATATGTGCCCTAATTAGTTGTACATCAAATTTCATGGATGCGAAATGATAAAGCAAAAATTAAAATCTCTTAGTAAAAGCAGACTTGTTATATTAAAAAAGAATTTTTTTGTTAATTTAGTTGTTTATCAGAATTTTTTTATCATACTCTGAGCAGCAGTTATGACTCTTTCCAAACTTATAGCTGAAAGTTTTCATGCATCAAAAAATTTCCCCCATGTTATTCAATGGAATAGTAGTGCGTAGCAAAGAAATTTTTGTACAATTTTACCCAGAGGCAATACTCATTTGTAATCTTGTGGCAATTTCTCTCTGACACCATATAAGAAAAAGCAGCTTTCAAGACACTCCAGTTTAATTGATGAAAAAATTAATAAAACTATAAATTGTTGATGTAAACTGCAAATGTTTCATTTTTATTTCCTTTTAAATTTTAGTGCTCAGGATCCCAAACCAGTTGAGTGTAGTCTGTGCCAAAGAAAATTTAAAAACATTCCTGCTTTGAATGGACACATGAGACTCCATGGTGGATACTTTAAAAAGGTTTGTCTAAATTTATTATAGTACTTTTCAGGTTTGTAATTATTAGTTGTTGTTTTTTTTTATAATTTAATATCTGAAGTATAAATTGTAACAGCCTTTCACAGATTTTCAGTGTGTAAAGAAAAAAAATTTCAGATTAACCTCTGTAATTAAAAATATAAGTGTATAAATTTTTTCATAAGTAGCTTTTTTATGAAAAAAATTAATTAAACATAGTTATTGTCTTCAAACATTTAAATACGTGTTTATTAATTAGTTTTAAATTATTTTTCTGATTTAAATATTTATTTCTTTTAATGATCTTCGTATCATTTAATAATTCTTCAAGCATAATACTGAAAGTAATGTAGTCAAGTATAAATGACTATAATATTTTAAACTGGATGTATGAACTAAAAAATAGATAATTAGATATATCTTTAGTCCTGAGAAGAATGTTTCTCCACATAAACATCTGAAACTTTTACAACAGCAATGCCTGTTGTATGATATAGATATATGAAGATAAAGTAATGTAATTAAGATTCATTAAATTGTGAATTCTGTGCAATTCTAGCTGCTGACTTTTCCTAATGATACACTTAATTTTATTTTAAAAAATTTTACTATGTTTAACAATTAATTTATAAAATTATTCCATTATTTTTAATTTCTTTTGTAGGAAAATGAAGCCAAAAAGAATGAAAAGAAAGTTACTAATCAAACCCATCATCCACCATTACAAACAGCAAGCACAAATGTTAGGGCACTTATTGAGGAAAAAATTAATCAAAAAAGAAACTTTTTGCCTCAGAACTCAATGCAAAATCAAACAATAACTACCAGTCAAGCTCAGACATTTGATTTTCAAATAGCACAATTAACTAATCAGCAAGAAAATACAAATGTCATTACCCAGGCTCCTCCTATTCTTGGTTCAAATTCTCAAGAGACTACTGATTTTAATAATTTTCCTGATTCTAGTCAAGCATCTGATCTCAATTCTTTAACAGATAATTTTAATTTGCAAACAAGTGATATATTTAAAAAACTAAACCTAAAAGAACAATTTCGAGTACCTCATCCCCCCATCGAAAAGCACCGACGACATTCAGACTCGGATCATTTTATACTTCCTAAACGCCCTTGTACAACATTTACAACTAGTGCTCTAGCTGATTTGTTGCGCAATAGGGTTGTTGCTAAACGCACATGTAGGACTGGATCTGATCCTGGTGAATCACTTAATATGGACACATCGTTTTCAGATTTTGCTGATTCTCTTTCAACAATGTCTGTGAATGAATTGTCCAAATTCCAATCCCTTGAAACCTCATCTTTGACTAGTGCCATTGACGATGCTGCTAATGAGTTGCATCATCACAATCTTACTGCCATAACGCCAGAAGGTACTGCCTTGCCAGTCTTGTCTGCTGAAGATATACCAGAAGCTCAGCCAATGATTATGAATATGAGAGATATATCTGAATTAGATACTCAATGTCTGGAGCGCAATGTGTTTTTTGATGGATCAAGCAATGATTTAGGAGTTGGACAAACTTTTCCAGATATCTCAGTTAGTGAGCTTGAAATGATGCAATTTGCTTCTATAGTTACATCTTCAGCCGCTCTTCCTACAGAAATCAAACCTGTTAATGGGGATAAGATAAAAACTGGTGATGATAGCAACGATGATGATGTCTTTTTAAGTCCTACCAGTCTTCCTACAAGTCCTATGAAACTCAAAAAGAAGCGTAGACCTGAGGTAATCTTTACTTACTTTCATCCAATTTCATTCTTTTTGTTTTAGTTTTGATCGGGCATATTATTCCAATTACATAAATCAAATTTTTTTGGCTATGATTCAATTTTTTCCCTCTATAAACTCTCCCTTGCAGCAGTATTGCAGTTCAAAAATTGATTTTTTCTTTTGTTTTCTGTTAAAATTATTTTAAACTGCTCTTGATTGTACAGTATTAAAACTATTCATTGCTTAAAAGTAACTCTTCCTAGATTTAAATTTTATGCAGTAGTCGGAGAAACTGCATTATTTTTGTAATTTACTACATCTACTTCGTTACAAATGTAGTTAACTACAGCTACTTTTTCTTAAATGTAGTGACTGCAAACCACTTTCAAAATGTAATAACTACTTCACAACTTTAAGAAGGTGAACTTAAGTTACACCTATGTTCAAAATGGTTTTGAAAGAAATTGGAATATATTAAATGTAAAGAAATAATTAAGAAAGATTTATTCATGTTTAAATGAGCCAGATTGTTATTCCAAAGAAATTTTTTTTTTTTAATTGTTCGTTTAACCTTCAACTTTTTATGCCTTTTTCAAAAGCAAATATTTAATTTAAGAAATGCAAAATTTTCAAATACTTGCAATTTTTTAATTGTTTAATGTTTTTTTATTTCTTCTAAGAAATAAAGTACATTGAAATAGGTTCTCTTCCTTTTAAAAAACACCAATGTTCCCATTCGTTTCCCCCCATGATGATGTTGCCATATATGTCAGTGATTCCACTTTAATTTCCTATTAATATTTTTCCAGTAGTGCTTAGTTCACTTTTTTTTTTAAGAAAATTTTTACACCGAGATTGTCTTTTAGTTGGCCTTTAATTATTTTTCAGAAGTTTCAAATTTTATAATTATGTAATCAAATATATAGCCTAATTGCTAATATTAAAGATGCAAATATTCAATGTTTATAAAGCTTTTTAAAACATTTTTGGCAAATAACATTTTTGAGGGAAGGACATAGTTTTCCTTTTCATATTCACATTTTGTAATGAAATGGATGATTTATACTTTGTGACAATTAATATTCATCTGTTTTTAGCCATTATATATTCCTCCTTATGTGAACACTTGTGGTTATACTAGTAGACTTCGCTCACCCCGCTTGTGGGATCCCTCTAATCCAGACCACAAGAAACTCAGTCCTCCTCCATATACTCCTCCACCAATGCTTAGTCCAGTACGAAGTGGCTCTGGTTTATTTTGGCACATTCTCAGTGGATCTGGTAGTTTGACTCCCAAATCTGCTCCAATAACTCCAAGCTTCGGATTAAGCCATAAAAGTAATTAGTTTATGTATACATAAATTCTTATTGTTTTTATTTTTGTCATTATTTTAAAGCAAAGGATGATTATTTTTTATTTAAACAATTCTAATTTATTTTTATTTTGTGGTACTGTTTTCTTTTCTTTATTTCCTGAGCTGTATTATATCTGACAATTTTTAAATTATGAAAGTTTTATTGTTCTTTATCACTCTACTTAAATTAGTATTGGTCTAAGAATTAAAATAGTCTAAAGTCTAAAAAATAAGTATAAAATTATATCCATCTAGTATTATATCCTAAGAATTTAATGCTGAGTAATAAATTGCTACTGCAAAATAAGAAGGTTACTATAAATTAGAGTAATGTTGAACCCAAACTAAATTTAGTTTACAATTTTTTCCATAAATGCTATCATTATATATATGTGTGTATATTTGTAGGATGTAGCATTGTTTACAATATTTGTAATTAATATTCAGCTTTAAGTCATTTGTTCTTCTCTTCCACTTGAAAATATAATTCATTATACATTTTTTTTTTTTTTCTCATAGTGAGTGTGGGAGAATGTACACCAGAAGTTGAAGAAGATATAACCGAAGCACCTGAATCTGATATACTTCCGTAAGTTATTTCCTCTTGTATATTTCTATTTAAATTGCACTGTAAGCTCTTGATTTCCCTCAGAAATATGTGATTCATGACAAATAATCCTCAAAGCTGCCAAAAAAAATTTTTTATTTACTTTAAAAATAAACTTTTGTTAGCTATTTTTATTAACAAAAAAATTCTATTTCTTTTTTACATGTGATTAAATGCATAAACTGTTGAATACATAATAAAAATTAAAGCAATTCAATAACAAGAGAAAATATACAGACAAAATAGTCATAAGGGCATAGCTTTCATTCATCCTATAGTGACAAACAGGTGAAATGAAAAAACTTTCTATAAAATTGTGTATCTCACAATACTTTTATCCCAAGTATTTCCATCTTTAAATATAATGCTGCCCATAAAATCTATCTCAAATTTTTTTTTCTCTTTTACGTTTTGTATCTAACTATGATGCATATTAATGTAAAATGGCATTTTTGTAATAAATTGTATCTTCTTTTTTTCACAGGCATGTAAATATTGGCTCTAATTATCAAGCAAAAATACCACCTTTTAATCGTAAGTATGAATAACATACATTTGTTTCTTTTTTACACCCACTTTAAAATAATTAGAACTTTCTAGATATTATGTATGCATAGTTATTCACAGAAAAAACTTATTTCTTTGTTCTTAATTTTAGAATTTTATAAGATTTTAAAATATAATATGCTTGACTTGTAAATAATTTTTAAATGATCCAATTTGTACATATTATTTCTTAATGTAGGAAAGTTTATTGAAGGAAAAAGTACTTGAGCTACATTAAATATGATTTTAGGTTATTGTTTGCCTTGGTAGAATATTGTTATTGTTTTTTATTTAATTCTAGGATCCATACACAATGTGAAAAGAAAAGTAGGCAAACTCTACAAATTTTATTGTTGTTGATTTTTATTCACTCATACTTAAAATTTTCAAACATTAATTTTAAATAAAACTGTTCAACTAATGATTCATGAGAATATCTCATTTAACTTTTTTTTTATAGCCCCTTAGCGTTGTATAATAAAAACTGCAATTACAACAATGCATATTAATTTAGACAAATTTCTTCACCTTATGCAGCATAGTTTAACTTACATATATAACAAACTGTTGAAAACATTTTTTTTAATAATTACTTACTTTTTTAGAATACTGAAGATATTTCATCTTTGAAAATGTTGATAAAAACAGTTTGAGCCTTATTCAAAAGCTGTAATTTCATCTTTAAGATCTCATTAAGCCATTTTAAAGCATTGATATTTATGAACCTTTTTTTTTTTATTTCATAAAATAAATTTCTTATAGCGAATTTCAAGGATGCACTGCTTGTAAAACATAAAGCTGATAAAGTTTGGGATCCTTCTACTATGGATTCTCTTTCTGAAGAAGAAGGTAATTTTATTTGGATAAGTAATTCTCTGCAAATAGGCTAAAATGATATAAATAGAGGATATTTCAGTTTTCTCTGTGGAAAAATAAATAAGTTATTTATTCAATATATAGTTTGAAGATATCTTTATTACATTATCTCATAAGTTTAAAATATTATTTGAAATAAATATTTTGGAAATTTATGAAATTTCATTCTCTCACTTACAAATACAAAAAACATTATTTTTCGTTTAAATACCTTTACTGTTACGGGGCGATATATCCGGTGGTTTTTTTGCTACTTAAGTTTTTTTTTTTTTATAACCGTCATTGAACAATTTTGGGTTTACGACTACTAATGTTAAACTCCGTAGCCTTGTAATTTTGAACCAATCCAGAAGACAAGGAAACTCCTGGATCAGTACCCTCAGAGGTATGATTTGTTATGGGAAATCTTGATAATAGCTGGCAAATTTGTGTACTATTCCGCCTCACCCAACCTTAATGCTTATGTAAAGTATCCACATTAGTTAATGAAACATGGGTAACTTATTAATAATGCAAATGAAGATTAATTTAAGACTCAAAAAGTTCTCCTTTAAAATAATCTTTTCCCTATGCTTGATCTCTTATCTTCTGCGTTTGGTCCAAATTTACAAGGTCGATCTTTGATTGGTAAAAATCTATTATGAATCAGCCATTTAATACTATGAATAAAATAAAATTATTATTCTCATAAGATCATCTATGCTGTTGCAGAAAATAAATTTTTAATCATTTCACTTTAATGTGAAGTGGAAAAACGGGAAAAGCTCAGTGAATTAGTTTTAAAATCTCAGTTGAAATGCTGCTGATTTTGAACCCATTAACCTTAAAAAAGTGCAATGATTTTTCTTTTCTTTTTTTTCTTTTGGTCAATAACAATGTATTTTGATATTCTTCTAATCAGCCTGTTGCAGTAGATATCTGATATGAGTTCCTGCTCGAAAAACACAGGAAAAAGTTAACAAATTGCTTTTTGTTTGTTTTTTTAAATTCTTAAAATAGGATACCAAAATCTGTCTGGTCATACAAAAAATTATATAGTCATGTAAATGTATATCAGTGTAAAAGTGTATTTTATTTTCCCTGATCACTTGTTGTATGGTTATGTTGAGAGGTCATGATTTCATTCTTATTTGTAGCAATTGTAAACCATAAAGTCATTGAAATATATTAAATATATGTTATTGTTTTGTTTTTTTTATTTAGTCGAGATGTATTTAGAACTATCCTGCTCTGCAGTTGTTCCTGGTGGTGGAAGAAATAAGGAGTATGCATTGCATTTGCTTCAGATGTGTAAAGGAAAAATTAAAGTAAGTAACATGATTAGCAAAATTAGTAATAATTAATAATCCATTGTATCAGGTTTCTAACATGTTGGTTGCAACCAATGCACAGATCAGGCTGTCTTTCAAAGTGTACTAAAGCTTCTTGAAAAGGAAAAGAAATTTTCATTTATTTATTTTCTATATGTGTTAATATTATTTATTTTCTCTATACATTATTTGTAAATATGTTAAAGTAGTGATTTGTAAATTTAGTTAAATAGATCCTACTTTTTCTCATCTATTTGCTTGTATTTTGGGTTTTCCATTATGAAAAACAAACTTTTTATTTGCTAAACATAATTATATATACTAAAATAATGTTAACTTCCTTGTAATTCAAAACCAATTTTAGTAAAAACTTATCAAGTATGTTAGTATTCAGTGTTGATAGCAGTCTGCAACATTTTGTTTCTTATAATATATATATATATTTTTTTTTAATTTCAGGATGCAATTCTAAGCTTAATGGATACTGGCCCAAAACTGTCACCGAAGCATCCACTTTTAACCTTTCAGTATTCAGGTAAAATTATTTTCCCAGACTTACCTTTACAGATTATATTTTATAATTGAGACAGTCAAATATTGTTTTCTTACCTAATATTCAATATAAATGTTGAATGGCAAAACTTATTTAGAGTATGAATTCTACATCTTAAGGATTTACAAAACTGCTTGAACTTTTTTCGAGTAAAAACAGCTGTTAACTAGTGTTAATTTGTTGGGGTTTTTTTTTTTAAAAAAAATTATTATTAATTTTAAGAAAAAGAAAGATACTGACTCAGTCAGTTGCTTGCCCTGAAATCTCCATATGAAATTGCTAATTTCTCGACTATTGCACTGTGAAAGGTAATATTGAAGCAATTGAAATGCATTTATTTAAATTTTAAAATTTTCATCTAAAACACATTAGCATTTTTTTTCCTTGAAATTATGTTGCACATTTGAATTATCAATTTGTTAATGTGGTATCTTGAATGGAAACAATGGTTTTTGTATCAATTTTTCATTCAGGCTAGTTTTAGTTCTATGAAATATCATGAAGCTGAATAATTTTATTTTTTTTAAGTTTTAGGAATATTAAAAATAACACAATGTAAAAAAATGGTAACTGTGCAGTATTTCTCTCTTTTTAGGATGTATAGCAGAACTAGACTTTTAATCTGGAAAGCTTTCGTTTTAGCTTAAGTTTTTAAATTAGAATGATTTTTTTTTTCAATTATATGTATGTAATATAGTAGCAAATGGCTACAAATGTATGAAAAAAATGTTTAATTTTATTTTCTTTTTAATTCAAAATTTCCAAGAAAAATTTGCCTTTTTTTTTTCAAAAAAAAATATGCATTAAAATGCAACGAATGTGCATACTTCGATAAATAATAACATTTTAAACTTGCCATTTAAATTTGAAACTACTCGAAGATTTGTTTGTGAGTATTACTGATTTGAAAAATTTAGCTTTGAGAAAAACTCTTGAAATTTTTTCGGTGCATGCAAGGGACTGTGACAGGCTACTTGAAAACAGCAGTAAAATATTTTTCCTCTTTTTAGTCCTTTGACATTATAATTTTAATGTAGTGAAGCACCTTTTAAGCGAAAAAAATTCTAGTATCCTAGCTGATATTAGTAGCTAACAATTTCTAACTTATAGCATATCAATACCTCTTAAGTTTAACTGAATGTTAATTTTGCATAATGAAAATAGCATATTGAGAGGATCAACCTCACTCATCCAGTTGAGTTTTAAACAACTGTTCATTTCAGGTGATAAAAGATACATTGTGATAGTATTAAAACTTGTCAAATATTCAACAACTTTTCAATGCTCTTAGACACAATTTCTGGTTTTAAACAAATATAAGCTAACAGCAATGTATTTCTAAAATATAAAATTTAAAATAGTTATATTCTATGTTATATCTTAAAAACAATATCTGTTGTATTATTTTTAAAAACAATATCTGATGTATTATTTTTTTTTCTTGATTTGAAATATAAATGTTTTTCTAGAAAATGATCAATGGAGCCCAGAAGAAATTGAAGCTTATCATCAAGGACTACTTAGATGTGACAAAGATTTCTTCAGTATTGCCAAAGATGTAAGTAATGAGGAACTTTTATCAACATTTCAACTGCCATCAATGTCAAACATTTTTAATTTATTTCTCTTCAGAAGTTTATCGAAATAATGTAATAAGCAGGGCTCAAGGCTGTCCTTTCCAATCCAGAGTACCTTAGTTTCCTTTAAAAAAAAAGTGTCCTTAATTATTTTTTAAAAAAATCCTTAAATGAAATCCATAATTTAAGAATTTTCCACATTTTTGTTGAAGTTAGGAGGAAGAAAGAATAAATATTATTACATTTCTAAAGAAGGTTTAAAGAAATTTGAAATTTCATTATATGCTATGCGATAAAGTTCATAACAAAATTAATGCCGAAGTCTTTATAGCTTTTCAAGTTTGGAATTAATTTATTTCCATTGTTGGTGACAATAACCTGTGATTTGATTGCATGAAAACATTCCATGTTGGAGAAATATATTTAAAAAAACCTTTTTCCCCCCTACAATCTAATCACTATCATACCATAATGTTTTAAACAGAATTCTCATATTTTGCTAATACTTAATGATTTTCCGTCTTTAGACTCTCCCGTCTTTTTAATTTTTTTTTTTTTTTTTAAGTCTATTAAGTACAAGTACTATTAAATCTATCAACAATTGTGTATCTCCTAATTCATGTCCGTATTTTACAAATTACTCCCATTAGAAAATCTCAGTGTTCTATAATTGTCTTTAAATTTAGAGGAAATTTAGTCCTTAATTTTTAATTTACTTTGGACTACCAACCCTAATTAAGTTCACATTGATTAAATACCGGTGTATAATACAATTTCAGTAAATAATAATCTAACAGTACATATTATGTCTCAATATTTTGATGAAGGTACAAAAAAAGAACCATACTAAATAAAATTTTATTTCGAAATTATTTTAAATTTTTCTTATGACAATTCTTCACTTTCTTTATTTAAATAAATTTAGCAGTTTAATTTTTTTTTCCAGATTCCAACAAAATCTGTTAAGCAGTGTATTCAGTTTTATTATTTGTGGAAAAAAGTTTGTCCTGATGAATATAAGAGAATCAGGCTTATTCGAAGAAGAAAGGAACAAGAAAGTCTTTATTATAATTTAAGGTCCAAAGAAGATATGCAGGAGAATGAGGAAAAAAATAAAAGAAATCCATCTCCTCCTACTGTTAATGGTCGAAAAAATGCAGAGGTAATTTTTACTTAGTTTTTATGAAATTTAACTTTAAGTGCAACATTACATAAAAAATGCATGTCAGAATTGAATAAAAGCATAGATAGCACTTGTTATTTATTTATAAAATTGTTTTTTACTCAAATGCTTCATTTGGTATTACTAATGAGTACACTAAACAGGGCTCAAAATGAATAGTAATCTATTGATCGAAGGCGGCTAAAATTTGACTCAAACCACAATGAAAAGTCATTGTCACCAAACCAATTACCATCAAACAAGTGTAAAGGGGTGGTATACAGAGCTGATTGTGCTCCGGAAGTTTTACGGAGATCGAAGGTCCAGAAGTTTCAAAAAATCATTGCTCACAGAAGTTTCCGGAAATCAAATTTTCAAAGATGGAACATAAAAACACAGTTTATTTTATTTGTTTGTAAGGGAGAGCCAGAGAGATACTTTATAAGCTTATATTCATGAATTATATTCATTTTTTATCAGTTAATAGTTGTTATAATCATAAACTCAAAAAAGAAAGACATATTTGTAAATTTTAATTGCTTCTCCAGGTCATCATAGGTATGTGTAAATGGTATAGGTATGTGTAAAATTTTAAATATATTTTAAGTAAACTAAGTAATATTGAGAAAAAGGAAAGAAAAAAACTTGTTTAAATTTTTTTCTAATTTACAATGTAAACTGTTTTTTTTTTCCAAGGAATTTTCCAGAATTTTGACTTGGGCTCACAATTACCCCTAGGTATACTTATTTGAATTTTTTGTTTAGTGTGTTGGTCTGTGCTTCTGTCACAAAATAGCATATTTATAATTTTGAATAATACACATTCTCTGTAATTTTGCCTCTAAATTCATTTTAATAATTCTACTTTTTTTTTGTTTCCTAGTGTTAATTATTTTTTATTCCTGTTAATTTGTCTGTTCATGATAATTTGTTAATGCTCTACTTGTGTGAAATACATAACATTTTACCCATACAGAGAAATATGATAAAATTTTGTTACATAAAGCTTTATTTTCAATACATTGTGATTTTTAAATTTATTATGTTTCATAAATTATAAAGTTTTTTTTTATCTAATAGAACAATACAATAGCATGTGAATGGACTTGTGAAAATGATTATGAACGAAATCAATCTTTTAGTTCCCGGTCTTTTGAATCAATAACTAAATTTTCTTAATTTCTACCTTTGCTGAAAAATTGTACCTTCCATTATGAGTTCCCTTTCCTCAACAGAAGTGTTTTAAAAATTTTATAAAAATTATTTCAGGAATCATCGGAAAAACATATTACTGTTAATGGAACAGCTTCTGAAGTTAAGACATGTTTTACCACAACAGCATCGTCTTATTCTACTTCTACTTACAATGGAACTGGAATTACCTCGACCTATGAATTCACTCCAGAACCTTTAGAAAAATTTCCATGTAAAATCTGTGGCAAGTAAGTGCTTTTTCACATGATTATATTGCTTCTGTTAGCTTCTGGTATGAATTAACTCCAGGTAACTAAAATTTAAATCAGTGTTAACTTATCATTCAAATTATGAACTAAAAACTCAGTGGCACGACAGCGCGTAGAGGGCCAAGGCCTACTGTGCCCATCTCAATTTTCTTGACCTTGGGGTGCAGAAGCAGATGGTCAGGTAGTCAGCCGAACGCGGAACCCCCAGTATTTAGTTCCCAAGCCAGCTTGGTACTCATTTATCGACCCAGTGAAGGGATAAAAGGCTAAGTCAACCTTGCCCGACCCGAGGATCGAACCCAGGACCTGTGGCACAGGAGTGTGAAGCGCTACCACTCAGCCACCGGGCGTCATAACCTACAAATCATAAACTACAAAGTAAAAAAGTTATTTTTGTATTTGTTTTAAATAAATATTGTAATTTACCCAGACTTTTACTTAAAAAAAAAAATTTTCTAGTATCTTTTATTTTTTTTTACTTTCTTACTTTTAGTTCCCAAGACTGACCCTATATCTTTTTTTTTTTATTTCCAATGCCCACCCGTGTTAACATTTCGTCGATTCAGATTCGATCGATTTGTCGATTCAGACAGGGCAGATTTGTTGGCCACTCTTTTAGGGCCAACATTGCTCCCACAGTAAGGACAGATAGTACAGAGAATGAAACAACATCCATGCCTTGCTCAGGATTCGAGTTCGGAATCTTCCTGATTCAAGGCCTGACCCCTACACAGTCCAGTCCAGTGACCCTATATCAACAAACATCCATATGGTCACAAATTCATATGATTTTTTTTAAGCAATTAAGTGCAAAATAACGCATAACATAGGATTACAGTTAACTCTAAAATAGAACATAAAAATTTTTAAATTAACCAAACAAAAATCAAATTAAAAATTAACTCATAAAATTATAATTGCTTGATTTTTTATTATTTAAAGCAAAAGTACTGTAGTATTAATAATTCACGCCTTTTTTATAATAAATTAAATTCTCAAAATTTTAATACATTTATGATTTTTTCTTATTGAACAAAAATTTAGGAAAAAGAACTTTGTAGCGTCTTGACTGTTCTTATATGTATATTTTACACTAAGTAGTTAGTGCTGGAATATTTCTATTCCCTACAAATTTTGGTAAAACTTGCATGCTTGAACATGTGGGATGTTGAGCGAAAGTGCAAAGTCTCTTTAATATTGGTATTGGTTACAAAGAGGAATTTTAAAATAATTATTGTTAGTTCTAATTATGACATTTCAAATTACCCATATTTTTATTAAAAACTCTATTTCATTATTTTAAAGCTATCTACAAGTTAAAAAGACTTTAATCATCATATGTTCAATAAAAAAATTTAAAAAGCTATCCTATTTTCTGGTGTGTTTGTCAACTATTTCAACCTGTAAATTACAATCGGAGACAGCAAGTCGACCATTACACCAGTAATAAAATCAATCATTTACTGGTTGTGAAACATTGATACTTTATAAAAAAGCAGGGAGAATCTCAATCAAACCTAATTTCCTTGTAGTGAATACTGTTAGTGTTATAGTGAATGCAAACACTTAAAATCTGAAACCACCGCATATATTAAGGGTACCAGTAAGTCTCTATTTTCCTAGATGTTGCCTAATAGTCCCTTTTATTACTGAGAGGCATAGGTTCCACTCTCCTGTCTTTAAAATGAAAATCTATCTTGAAAAAATGGGCTGATAGAATTTCATCTTTCAATTAATTATGAATGTCAATTTCAAAAGAAAAAAATCTTTCTATAAATTTGTTTTTCTAAGAGTTTAGTAAAAAATTATTTTCCTTGAATATTTGTTTAAAAAGCTAAAAAATATTTCTCATTAGAACAGGAATTATATGAGATTGCTCTGAAAATAACAAAAGGATGATAATGTCATATCTTGATAAAAGAGCAAGATTGAATTAACTATTGTATCTAACAAGGATGCAATAGTAATAGGACCAAAACTAAGATGTGCCACCTTGCCTGCATTATTCGGGAAACCAGATTTCTGGTTGTATCTCTGGAATCCAACCAAAAATCTCCTAAATGTCTATCAATATAATGGACACATGTAATCTACCTCCCCCCGATTTGATTTTTTTTTTCATTACACGCTGCATTACACGCTTTTCCCCCATTGTGCATTAAATTCGAGCGGCTGCCACAACCTCTTTTCTAATCATTCAGATTGTTGGAAAGATGATGACGTTAGTGTAATGTTCTATTTATAGTTCTGTACCATAATACCTAAACTTTGCAATCATTCACTAATTAAGTTTTTCATGTGGTGGGCTTACTAGATTCAATGATAAAGCATCTTAACTTTGATATTTTTGCCTCTCTTTTAATCATTTGATTTTATAAAGGAAAGATTTAATTGCGATTTTTAAAAACGCTTTTTGTACCTGAGGAACCTTCTACAAGTATTTAAGGCTTCTTTTTTATTTTTTGTATTTTATTATTTTTTGTACAACCCTTAAGTAAAAATAAGTGTTCAAAACATAAATATTTTTTTTTCTCTTTAGAATATTTAATAAAGTGAAGAGTCGCAGTGCGCACATGAAGAGCCATAGACAACCGGATAGTGACAAGAAGAACAAGTATGATAGTTGAATGGAACTTTTTTTAAGATACATATATATATATATATATATAAATATATTTATCAATTTGTATTCCACATTGTTGGGAAAAAAATCATGAATGTCCTAGAGTCATTCGATATTGAATATTTGCTCATTTTGTATTGTTGCCAAGATTTTAAAATACTGCAGGTTTGGGGCTGTGCTCAGATCAAAAATAAAAACTTGCCTTCTTTTGCCTCAATACCTTTGTTCATCTATAAGGTGTATTTTGTTACAGAAAAAGAGTTTTAGTATGTATTCAATCTTTATAATAATTAAACAATTCATTATCTCATCTTAAAAATATTCTTAGTAAGTGGCAATATTATATTTATTTGCTAAGATAATATTATAAATAACGTTATATATTTTAATAAGTATACAAATCATATGCTTGTATACTGAAACCGTCCTAAGAGTTTTGGTGCCAAATTTATTTTAAGTTATTTGCCATTTCAATACTTCTGCAATGAAGCCAATTTGTTTGTTATCGCAATTAGATTTTAATATTTAGTTTTGATGGTTTTTCAAAATCAAAAAACTTTTCTTGTGGCTCAGTGAAATAATAATTACTAATTTTCATGGAGAGGGAATTGAAAACTTTGGAAAAAATATTTTTTATTGGTCAATTTAGCCACAAATTTATTTAAATAATCTATTTCAGAGAATAATTCTATATTATAATACTATATTCGATAATTAATATACTATACTATATTCTATAATTAAAATTATACTGTATGAGTTACAATGTTTGGCTTTAGTTTAAAAATCTATGGATGATTAAAAAATTTTATTATATCAGGGATGATACAGCTGTGACAATTGCAACAAAATGTACCAAAACATATTTTTTGCACTAAGCTGTGAAAATGTTTGCTGAAATCGAAACTAACTTTGAAAACAAAACTAGCTTATCTCTGGAAAATCTGCAGTGTCCATTGTGTGGAGTTTGTGGTGCGTGGTTTAAAATCTTTTTTTTTTCCCATTGTTATCTGTTTATTTTAGTTATTGGCAGGGATGATTGTGTTCTGTTTCAAAAAGCCTGCAATATCCGCAGATTTAAGTTTTTTGTCCTATAGATTTTTAAGGAAAAAACTCATCCTCATTATTTTATCTGCAACGGAGCGATTTTTGTGTTGGTTATGATCCACTTAGGAGATTTTCGTTTGTTGCACTTAAGAGCTTCACTAAGAGAATTTCTTGGCCATGATCTTCATGTGTAACGTTTCACCAAATTTTAAAATAGTTTATTGCATTAAATTTATTATCCTTAATGCTTAACTACTTGTTATTTTAATGTTTTATTATTAATATGGAAGTTTTATATTTTACAGTCTTGTGTATCTCTTTGAATTTAAAAATTTTAAGAACCATCATTTTGATTTCCGCCTAATGCTTGCATGATTAACGATTCATTGCTTGACTTTTTTTTTCTGATTTGCAAATTACACATCTCAATTTAATCTCAACTTGTGAATCCCATTTCCAATTTCTGAATCCCTACATCAACCATGTTTCCTATGCAATAACACTTATCACACAGTTATAAAATCAAATCAGGCATTTTTAAAATCAAACACAGCAAATCCTTTTACAAGATTTAAAAATAAAGCACGATTCGTGTTCATACAATTTAAACTTTACATATCACAGATCATGTACACGCAATTTTAAAATCAAACATCATGTTTATAATTCATGCAATTTATTTTAAAAAGTTGACTATACTAATTCATGTATAAAAGATGAGTTATGTGTGTTATTTGTAAAAATTTGGGACAATATTATTAAATATCAGTTTAAGTGACATTCTTTTAATAAAAAATTTTGTACATAAACATATACTTTCCTGACGTTATTTATTTTAGTAGTCCGATCTAAACTTTGATTCTAAACTTATTTATTTTGAATTTTTAAATGAATATGAACTAAAATGTTTGAACTTTTTTCTATCTTCTATATGCATGTGTAAAATTAATGAATCTGTTATTTAATATCAGGCAGTTTTATTTATCTACCCAATGTAAATACAATTGGGTAAATTTTACCTGTAACAAGAAATTTTTAGAGGTAAAATACCAGACAAAACCTTACTTTTGCTGAGACACTTTCCGTTTTCGCTGTATCATCCCTCTTACAAATTTGTATTTATTCATTTTAGTTATAGAATTAGTTGAAATTTTTTTCAGAAAAATTTTAATATTTTTTTAAAAAAATTATTTTCACAAATTTCAAAAATTTCTTTAAAACAAATAAAAAATTCACTGAAGTATTTAAAAGGAGTCACTGAGAATAGCATTCGTTAATTTTTATAAATATATCTAGTTGCGTTAAAAATTTAAAAGTTTATGTTGCCACGACTTTTTCTTAAAATTTGCAAACAATTTTAAGTAATGGTAAAATAATTTTTATAATTGTAAAAAATATAATGCTGAGTCTATGATGGCTTTGACAATCCATATTTCTTTATTATAGATATTTATAGAATGATTGATTATTCTCTATCTTTAGATAAAACAAGTGTGCAATTCAATCCTAACTTTCCTATATTTTTTATTTTATTATCATTTTTCTAAATTATCATATAAAATTTTGACTGACTTATATAATATTATGAATATTGATTGTAGTTATCAGTTAAAAATTATATACTACTACTTTGTATTAGTTTTTAATTATTGACTTATTTTTTAAAGGGTTTACTAATTATTCAAAACTGCTGTTTTCAACCATTATTAAAACAAATGTTAGATCTTAATTCCACATAAATGAAGATAATATAACTCATTTTACAACAAAAAGAAATCGGGTTTGACTTAATATCCTAAAATAGTGTGAAATTTGTGATTCAAAATCTATATGTTATGTAATATATAAGTGTTACTGTGTGTATGGACGTATATAAATATTTGTTTTATGTTGTTTTTAATTTGATCCCGGTGATTCGACATTTTCAGTAAATGAAAAAATATACTGTTCGATTTCAACTAATGTAAGTAAGTGGAAATATGTTCTTTTTTTTTTCTTGTGTGTGATATTTTTATTCCAAAGAATGTTAATGCTGTAATAGGTAAAATATCACCTCTTCAATTTGTGATGCAAAATATTAGATAAATATAAACAAAGCATTCACATTGAATATATGTTTGTGTGCATGTTGTGATGTTTAATCGTTCTGTACATATTTAAATGTAAAAAAAAATATCATCCATTTTGACAGAATGAAAATTTATAATTTCAGTACTACATCTAAAACATGTTCATGCATAAAATTGTTTTATTGATTCATTCCAAAAGTTAATATATCTATGAAAGCATTTTAAATGCTTGGTTATTAGAGGTGATTGTAAGTTTATCATAAAAATTTCAAAAGATAATATTTCCTTTACATTACGGATTTTATTTAAATTTTTTACACTCCACAATATTTTTATTACAAGAAATTAAAAATTTGTGCTTACATTTTCATCTATTTAGTTTCATATGCCATCCACAATCATGCACCTAGTGGTGTGTAATGATTTATTTGTAGCATGATGTTTATTTATTTTATTGATAATTTATGGAACACTGACAAAGAACTTTTGTTGCATCACTCTATCTTAAGTGTTTATTTCTTTAATTTTCCTCTTGATGCTTTAATTGCAAACATTTTCTGAAATATTTAATATATAAATCAGATAAATATCACATATTTATCATGAATGCACAATTTCATGTTTTATAAAAATAAAAGTTCTGTATATAGAAATTCAAAGATGCGCATTGTTATCCATTGTGTAAATTATTTTTTCCCATAAAAGTTTCAAATATATATTTACTTCTCTTTTACTTGTTCGATCAATCTTATAATCTAATGCGTAATAAATTTCTATATCTTTGCATGTCGTTAAAATTGTGTCTTTAACAGCAGGCAAAAAGTATTAAATCAAAACATATCCCTCAGTAATAATCTTAATTTTTTTAAATAAAATTTCATTGTATTTATTCTTAAAATGCACTTTCTCTGTTTTAAATATATTTTTAACAACAGATGTATATTATTGAAATTTATTAACTTTTAATGAAAAATTAAGTAGTGTTTTAAAAGAACACTTGAGTTTTCAATTTTAAAACATATTGAGGAGTAATAAACTGTGATATTCCAAATTTTTCTAAAAATTTAGATTTAATTTTCCTAAATATTAATTTAATTTTACTATTGGAAGTTATTTACAAAGTATTGAATGTTATTGAACACAAAATTTCTATTGTTCTGAATGAAATTCTTGTTTTAAAGAGAATAAATATTTCAGATATGTGTATATATTGAAACAAAATTAAGAATTCATAAACAAAATTTTCCAAATGCAAATTGCATTTATTTGTTAAAATTATTCTCTTCTAAAATGTGAAAAACTCAGAAAAGCTTGTAAATATGATATTTACTTATTCACAGTTGGCATTGTTGTATCTGTGTATAAATGTTATGGATGATGTGTTATTTGTACCATGTATCTATAGTAAGCTAATGTTTTTGATTTTAATTTTTGAACTTACTTTCCTCTGATGTGCAATAATTATTTAATTGCACAAAAAAATCAATTTGTAAATACTTTTTTGTAAATTTTCTTGAGAAAACATTGTAAATAGAATTTTTTTAAAACCTCTTAGTGGCTACATCCTGTTTTTAGCCAAATTTATTCAATGGAAAAATTTACTTAAACCATAATTTCATTTCATTACTCAATATGAGGATATTATTACTTAAATTTTTAGTTCTTTTTGTTATTGTTAATCCTATGGTGATATTCTTGCACTTTTTTAAAATTAAAAACACTCATAATACTTAAAATTAAGACACATAAGTAAATAATTCTTTATTTAAATGAAATTATTCATAACTATCATATTCTAATTCTGCTTGCAAACTGAACTTTATTTCAGCACAATTTTATTGTTAATCATGTCCTCAGTTATGTACGTTATATTAAGGTTGCACAAATGAAAAGTAGATAGTGTAGGAAATACAGTACCATACATAAGAATTATAAATTTAGGTAAGAAAAGTGTACTAGAGAATGTGTAACTGATAAACCACTTCACATTTAATCTGAATATAAAGTTGTGCTAAGATGAGTTTGTATAGACTAGAACAGTGTGCAATTTACAATTTTTATTGTGGAAGTTGAATCTATCAGACATTTATTCTTAAACAATTGTATTTGCCGCAATGGCTCAGAGGATAGAGTGTTCGCCTTCCAATGTGGCTAACCGGGTTCGAATCCCAGTCGATACTAATTCCGCATCCGGCTTACACTCACCACAGTGCTGACGTGAAATATCCTCAGTGGTAGATGGATCATGGGTTAGAGTCTCCTTGCCATCAGGCTAACCGTGGGAGGTTCTTGTGACTTCCTCTTACTCCTTTCCATGTAACGCAAATTTCATCCAATACTTTATCCATGAGATCCCTTGACTTCTGGATTGGGCTCAAAATAACAAGGCTACGGAGTTGAACATTAGTAGTCGTAAACCCATAAAATTGGGTCGGCTGTTCAACGACGGTTATAAAATTAAATTAAAGCAATTGTATTTATGACAAGCATAGTTACGAAAACAAACAACTATGAAAAGACAGTGTAAATTAAAAGCATCAATATTGGAACTACCAATACCCAGCGAATAAAAAAAAATACCTTAATAACAGTGTAAGAAAAATAATGGCACCAAAAAGGCGTACTAAAATTTCAGCTCTGTAAACAACTTTCTCAGTGTCAGAACACAGAAAAACGGATGAAAATACATGCAGAACAAGTTGCAATAAGCAAAAAAGTAGTTTAACCAATAGGAGAAGTAGAACAAGCTTGAACAAAATAATCAATATAAATTAAGGAAGATAAGAAACAGTTGTAGATTGAAAAACTCCAAATTGGTAAGATATAAAAATAAAATAAATTTCCTAAAATCACATACTACCTTCTTCCACTAAAAAAATCACAGTACCTCTCCTTCTGTTCTGGATGCATCCTTTCTTTATCCACAACTTTACATTCTACCCGCATTACTATCCACAACTTTACATTCACTTTAAATGTTCTTGTGTGAACTGATTAATCAGTACACTTTTCTTACTTTGTTTC